AAATAGACTCACTCTGCAGCTACAGTGCTCTCATAAATAATAACAGAATAAATGCATAATTAATAACTCGCCGAGTACAAACGCAATGTGTGAATAAACTAACTAGCAATGCAAATCTTGCTTTTGAAATGCAAAATGTGCAGCAGATGTGCTGAATAAGAACTATACCTGTGTGCAATTGTGCATGCATTAAAAAAATATTGTAAATACATTTTTTTCAGTATTCCTCACATATAAAGCAAACGATTAAATCATGAAATTAATCAGCAGACTAAATTGCTAATGAAAATTATTGTTAGTTGCAGCCCGACAAGCAATTTGAGCACATCAACTCTGGGACTTGTGATGAGTTTTTAATACTAGTATATCTTCTGGCATTTTATAGACCAGACATCATTAAAATAATAAAATAAGTAATACATAGATAATAAAATGTATTGTTAGTTGCAGTTAGTTGTTAGTTTTGGACGAAAAAAAATCTACACTTTGTGTTCTCACTCTACAGTAAGTTATTGTGTGCATCAACACATATTTAATTCTTCACTCATTCATTTGACTTTCACAGTGGGTTATTGATTCTCACACACACAACTTGAGGCAGTTCTGCTGTCACTACATTGATTGTTTGAGTCTTTTTAGGTCCATTAAATACTTTCACAAAGGGCTGGCAGGCTATGCTTTTAGTGACATGGCAAAGGAAACAAGCACAGTAGTGAGAGTGTAAATAAGCATCAGGTCACATGATAGTGAAGCCCCCTCTCTCTCTCTCTTTATTGCCCAAAGGAAAAGCCATGCCCTTCATCAAGTTGTCATATGGTCAATACCCCTAATGGCAGTTAGATCATGGCCAGAGCAGGATCGAAACCAGGCTGGACCATTCCCAAAATAAAAATAAAAAAAAGGACACAAGTCATCTAAACACACCACACATAAAAGCTACACATGCTTCCTTACTAATCTACTTTTTTTTTGTTAAATGCCCTTTCGTTAAGCACGACAATGCACTGCGTCAAGATATTCTGCTTCTTACCAGTCGTGTGATCCACTGGTCCGGTGCCATTCAGCAGCACAGCGTGCAGGTGAGGGTGCGTCTTCTCCAGGGCCGTGCAAAACTCTGCGAAATGGTCTCTGTCCTTGCTTATGAGTATCTTCAGGAGAAGGTCCACTTTTTCCGAGTTGGTGGAGCAGTTGTGTCCCAGCTCGTAGCGTTCAGACTGGCTGAGGGTCCTGCAGTGAGCCAAAACATCCACAACTCGGTCCGCGTCTGTTATCGACTCCACCAAGTTCTGGTAACATTTCTCCAACAACTCTTTATGCTTGGGCTCCATCTCTGTATCGCTCCGCTTCGGGTTCAACCAAAAATCAGCTTCGGGACAAACCCCAGCGGCTTTACGTTGCTGGTAGTCAAACTTCACTTCGCACTACTGTCGTAACTCGCCGAAACTATCCCACTCGACCCAGTCGGGACGGTTTTCAACCCGAATTGAAGGATACACAAGAAGTAGCCATATTTGTTGCCCAAGGCTGTTGACTGCGCGAAGATGACAACACATTTTCCCAACCGAAGCTCCGTCCTTCCCGACCAAAAAAAGGACGCCTCTGCCTTTTTTTAAGTTCCGCTCCGCACACGTTGCGAAGACATTGTCGTCCTGAAATCAAGTTCTGTTGAAAAGTGTAAAAAAAAATAAAAACTCTTCAAGAGCCTCCCTCTCTCTCCCTGTGTCAACCTACTAACTCCGCCATGTCTCACCGTTCAAGCAGCTGTAGCTCTGTGCCAATCATATTTCCGTGCAATGGACATTTAAGGTAAACGTAGGCGGGGCTTTGTTTGTAGACGCACCTGGGCTCGCGCCGCTTTAATTCCCATTAAGAAAACTATTGTAAGATATACTTCCTCAGTGCAGGGTGGAACTAGGTACATTTGCTCAAATAGGCTACTGTGTTGCTACTTAAGTACACATTTGAGGTATTTGTACTTAAGTGTATCTACTCCACCACAGTTCAGAGGAAATATTGTACTTTTTACTCCACTGCATTTATCTGACAGCTTTAGTTGAGTGAGCTTATCAATGCAAAGTATAAATCAACTAATATATTATGATTATATTGTTATAGATCTTGTTGTGAGCAGAACTGCACACAAAAAGGTCTGTGGATTATTTTAAGTAACTGGGTGATGATTTCTGGAAGGAGACATAGCTGTTGTGTTTTTCAAATGTCATTTCTTGGGGCCATCTCGTCCTGTATTTGAGAACCGATATCCCCAAAGCTATAGGTAACTCACAACAAAGCAGTTTTAGACTGATAAAGAGCACTGCAGGTAAGAGGAAAATATGTGTATTTTAGATTTGGGGTGAACTGTGCCTTTTAAGCTACCCAGCAGTATATAATATAGTTACAATTAGCCCAGTATTTACCAGCTGCAACATCAAAGTGATGCACACATTTGGCATTACTAATTATAATCCTATAATATTTATGTTTTTGAAATGGGCCATTCTGTACTTTTACTTTTACTTTTGGTAATGTATATTGTAATAGAAATACTTTGGAACTATCACTTAAATAAAGTTTTGAATGCAGGATTTTACTTCTACACTTTCTACACTGCAGTATTGCTACTTTTAGTGAAGTAAAATATCTGAATACTTCGCTCCACTTACTTTCCGAATATTGTGATTAAACTGATCACAATTCATGTCTGCACCATGAAAAAAAAATTTAGAACCACTGCTCATGAGCGTGGAAGATGTAGCAAACAGTGTTTACAGTAATACAGTTGTATGAATATTACAGCATAACAAATCATGCATTTATTGATTTGGCCTTTGCTTCCCAAAGCCTCATCTGTTCACTGAGCAGGCTAGGTATTATTTAACTATAGGACAAATCCGGGAGCTTTTAGTTCATGATTTGATCTCTTCTCAGAGCAGATTAGGCCTATACACCTCTAGATTGTATAGTGTTCCTCATCTGGATTGTCCCTTGACACATCTCCCCAGCTCTGTGAGCTTTCTTCTGCTCCACATAATCTATCCGATCTCTAAGGAGGCTGACGTCACATAAGACTGATATGCTTTAGAAACCAACTATGTAAATGCAGACAATGGAATCACACATAATATTATATATGTGTGCTTATCTGTAGTCTTGTTACAGACAGCTGAATTGAAGAGTAGCTAAATATGCAAATCTTTTGGATCGTTTACCATAACGGCTGACAGCGCTCTGTAGTATTAAGGGGCTTCTGTGTATTGCCTTTATGAGGATTGTGACTCTCATCTGGAGCTAGCTAGTGCGCACAGGGCTTGGCTTTAAAGCTTAATGCCGTACACACTGTGCCTAAACATTTCCCCACTGAAGTTTAGCACAGCTTTAACAATGCAAGTGGTTATGTAACAACTCAACTAATTTCTGTTTTCCTGCAGGGGAAATCCATTTGCCGCTAACCAAGGAAACTAGTTGGAATGGTTAGGAATTATGTAAATTCATAAAACCATCACACTACACCCATAACGCCTCAAACACATGCAGTGAAAACATTAAGACATTTATAGAGTAATGTGTTACTCCTGACAGATAGTGTGCTGCTGCTCTTCCTCAGCCGGACGTCTGCAGACTGAAAACACAAATAAAAGGAACAGGTTGGACAGGTTTTTATTCTCCCATTTTGTCAAATATCAGAGGATGAAGCTCAGGCCGTGCAGGCTGCAACTCTGTAGGCTGGATAGTGATATCTGCTGCTGCATCTCATTATGTGTTGTTCATCTAATCCCCGGGTTTGTAATTTGTTTATATGCACTCATGAAGTTTAAAGCGGGATTACGTCCCTGGCAACCAAATGTCTCCTAACCACACATTCCTCATTGGACGGCTGCAGAAAATCCACAACAAATAAACAATTTGGTCAATGCTTACTTTTACTGATTGTCTATGAGACAGTATTAACATTAGAGGCCAGTGATGGGGATGTGAATAAAGGTAAAACATGGACTGATCTCAATAGATTTACTAAATTAATTATTTTTTTGAAATATGGTTAAATCAGTTGTCGAAATGCTTCATTTAAGTATCTTTTATTTTCATCTTTGTGTTTGTTAGGGGTACGCTAGGAAGTGTGAGGGCTAATTTAAAGGCTGACCTTTGCAGCTCCCATGTACCACAGAAACCAATGACGTAGACAGATGCTGTCGATTGGCACGATTCCCATAGGCACACGTCTGACATCTCCAATAAGACAGATACACACACATGCAAGGGATGCACTAAGTGTGATCAAGCCCCAGATAGAGTGCAGCAAGTCCACATGTAAATAATTAAAGCACTTTTTTCTTCTTCTGGAAATCAGGAAAGTGTTGTTTTGTCTCTGAAAGTAAAAGCAAACCAAACAGGAGGCCCCACTGATTTCCTTTTGACCTATATATTTAAGGAGGTATCACGGCAAACAGTCTCGGCTTGAGAGAAAATACACAAATACCAACATGAAATATTCATCCCTCTTTGTCCCCCGGCTGGTGGGGGCTTTTCATTTTGAGCGTGTATGAAAAGTAGTGAAGTGAGAAAGGTGTAGAAGAAGTGCGGTTGGTGAAGTCATTTGTCTCCCCATCACAGCCCCTCTGAGGCTGCACTTAAAGGCCAGTGAGCACAACAGAAAGAAGACTTTAGGACATCCGTGTCTCCAATGTGGACACTATTTATAGCCTTGAGAAAAGCGCTCTCTGCCATATCACTTGATCTACATAGCAAACCTGGACATGGTTTCCCTCCTCTCAGATTATACAGCAAAGCATAGAGACTTCACTTATTTAAGCCACATAACTGGCACCTTTTAGCAAAGCGTGCAGCTCGGGATGCTCCAGGGATGGAGGGAGAGTCACCGTCTCAGTTGTTGTTATACCTACCAAGGTGGTGGAAATGAGGCTGCCTTTGAAATGCAAATTGCTCACTGGCTCAGAGCAGAAAACCCAGAGTCAATGTTTCATGCAAAACACATGATCCCATTTCACAAAGGCAATCCAGATATGCCAAAATGTTTTTTTTAATGAAATTAGAAGTGGTTGTTTGAGAGACTGGAACTATCACATGGCAAAATGTTAGAAAACTAAAAAGGCATCCATTGAAATTCAACCATTATTATGTTACAAGGATGGTTGCAAAGTAGACTTAGCGCAATAGATATTCAGATCAAAGCTAAACCTTCAGGTAGCAGACATTAGAAATGACACGTCACGTGAATGAAGAGCCCTCTACTGGCAGTAAAACATACAAACTGGTAAAAGACACTCAGGAAAAAAAGTAAACACAATATTGAGAAATTAACAATGTGTGGATTACAGGTTTTGCAATTGTGCAATGATGATTATGTATGAAACAAACATCCATTAGCTCTAAACATTTTACATGGCAGCCCTGACAAAAAGGCACAACATTATCTGGCTTTGGCTTTTGCAGCATTCAGGAAGAAAACATTGGCTGTAATTGGCGAACAATGATTGGAAAGGTTTACATTTCAAGAACAACAGAAGAGTTTTGTAAAGCTGATATAAGGCAAAAAGCTAAATTGCATAGACTTGCAAGCAGGAGTTAAATTCTGGTTAGTTAACATTGACACTTAGAAGAGATGCCTTTCTGCAGATTATTTCTTACAATCAAAAATGACCTGGAATTTAATTGTGGCCAGTTTAACAAGCATCAAGTGATCACATCTATTCTGTGTGAGATGAAGTCAAACATAATTTGCTAAAACTTGCACAACAGTGTCACGTAACGTTGTGTATAGTAACTTGCACACAGTTGAAATGCTTGGCGGTGAGGTAAACTTTACCAGAGTAACACGGAAATAATGCATGTATAAAGTCATTTGCTAAATATATCCTTGTATACGTACTTTGAATATTAAATAAGCAAGACTCTCGCCTTGTTCTGCATCTTTAATTTTTCTGAAACTCTATTGTTCTTCCAAATAAGGGTTTCTTCAATGATAATTACGGTTTAGCCTTTAACATTTTAAATACTATTCTATAATGTAGTTATTAGTATAGTTATATTATATAGTTGACATCTTAATCAAGTACGAGATTTTAAAGCTATCTATTGCATCAAAAAAAAAAAAAATTCTTCATATGAATATATATTTACTATTTGGCAATCACTGACTACAATACAGTAGCAAACAAATAATAAAATTCGATCATGTTTTAATCATACTGAAGAGAATACTAAAGAAACAATGACTGATTGTTGCCATAGAAAAACTAACTTAAACTGCATGCATCAGAGGTGATATATGGTCCTATAACATTGTTTCAGTCATATATTTTGTCCTTACGTAGGGTTCTCTTCCTTTCCTTTTAGTCGTTACCTCCACACAGCTTCAGCAGCAACTTCTTGTAATCCCCGGAGGTATCACCCTGAAAATCGAAGATAAAATCAACATGGTTTTAAAAATATGTACATGAAAAGGAAAACCTGCGATTGTCAGCGTGACATGGTTTGTGTGACTTACTGAGATGTGGCTGTAAAGTGATTTTCCGTAAGTCTTCACATACGCCTGTCTGATGTCCAACATATCCACCTCAGAGCGGGTCACCATGATGCGGATGAGTGTTGTGTCCTTGGTCCCTGCTCCCTGTCGACACATCACAACGTGACACTTCAGTGACCGCAGCAGTGACAATTTCTCCTCAGACTCCCCGCAACAATGTCAGTGCAGGGAACAGTTGGTTTGTGACAATTAGAATACAATGTGATGATGTACCTGCATGGCATTGTGGAGCCTTTCTGCAAAGTAGACAGGAGTGTTCTTGATGCATTTCACTAGGAAAAAAGGAGCAGATGTAAACAGATGAGTCTTATATGAATCTGCAAAACCACACGATTGTTACCCTTTTGTTTCAATAAGGGGACAAGATACAACAGACGATGTGAAGAGGTAAATGAAAAGACAAGAAGAGTCAAAAGCTGATTGCTTGAGGTGGACAACATTAGACACCGAAGCTTTACATTCAAACTCAGTGCAGTATTAATAACTACACCAGAGAAAGACGGGTGTTTATGTTGTTGCGTCTGCCAAAAGGTTTTCCTCTTAGCCCTATTTTTTTTTAGTTTGTAAGCTTCTTAGTTAGCAGCATTATCGCTAAAACTTCTTCAATAATTTCCACCATTTTTATAATTTCTGCAGAACTGTTTTGTACCACTCCAACTACAATTTTCATCCAATCTTCACGACATTGAAGACGTAACAATTGAAAGGAGCCCAAATATATTTGAAGATATTCCAGACTGGTTTCCTGTGATCGGGTGCCAAATTCTTCTTGGTGAGGCCCATTTGAAATAACTTCAATGCGTTGCACAACAGCAACCAAATCATCTGTTCTTCTAAATTGCATATGTGCACAAAACATAATAATCTAAAATGGCTGGGACTCTGTGGTTTTAAATTGGATTTTATACAATTTCATAAAACTTGAATAACTGATGCAGCTGTGCTTTTTATCAATCAAAGTATTAAAAAGGTATGTAGGTCAAACGGCAGCCGGTTTGCATCAGCAGGATATTTGTAGTCCTTCCAGGAAAACCAGTCCAAACAAACATCTTGACGAATGGCTTCAATATATACTTAACGCTTCAACATGGTTTTGGAAAGCCACTTTCGTTTGGTTGGAAAAGAGACCCAAAGAACGTACCCACGGCCACCATGCCAGACTCCACATTGCCAGACATTTCCCTGCAGATGCTCTTCTCAATGTCTCTCCCACACATCTGCTGGTACTCCTGGAAGACTAATAAAGACAAGAATCACAGGCAAGAGAGTTACAGTCATAATATTTGACAACAAATGTCTGAAATATGTATTAAAAGGTCAACATGTGTGGTTATGACACTGGAACAACAGAAGTCATGTGGTGAACTTCAATAGAGGAAGGGAAATGATCTAGTGGATGTCGCAATTACACACCTGCTCGAAGGTGAGGCTTGCTGCGAGCACACAGGATGGCATTAAACTGAGACTCATCAGTTCCAACTTTATTTTCCCCAGCAGCATACAGTTTCTGTCGCCCACGCAGACACACACAAATTAAACAAGGAACATGATCAGACCTGCAAATTACTTTTCAAGTATGTTACAACAGCAAACCAACTTTAAACTGGTACCTGAGCATCCTGTTTGGCTAGGGAGACGTCGACAGTCTCCCTTTCGTCACGATTTCCCTGGATATAGTAAGATGTGTTGTGTTCATTAATATATTCATGAGCGAAGTACAATGGCAGAGTCAAAACTTAATAGCTCGCAGGAGCTGAAATCTGTTTTGACAGAGCTGATTATGAATCAGGTGTAAAAATGTGCAGCAGCTACCTGACTGAGAGAGATGAGGAGTCTGCGGAAGTGACCGGAGGTGTCGCCGCTGATGGCGTCCTCTAGGCTCTTCCCGTAATCTGGAAGAAAGGTGTGGCTTTTTGTTTTTGTTGGGACAATACATTCATTTGCATAATATTTGCATTTTGTTTCGACACTTCTTTTTCTCAATCCATTTTTCTAAGCAGAAAAATAAAAAGGTAAAATAAAAGAGTAGCTGCACAACCTACAATCAAATTTGAGTTAAATCATTTTAATACAAAATATAAACCTCAAGATCAGAACTCACCAGATTTGTAGATTCTGGTGATTTCACGAATCTCTGCATTGGAGCGTGATGAAAGAATCTCAATCAGACAAGCTTCATCAGTTCCTGCGCCCTGTAAAAATATAGAAAGGCCTCAGTAAGACACAAAGACACACCAGCTTAATAGATGGTGAACAGTTAGATGTCATCAGCCATGACACAAGTCTCGACTTGTATGGCCTTAACTTGCATTTAGAGGTTATTTTTGTTCTTATTTTCCAATTACATGATGAGTAACATGCGGTTTGGACTACAAAACCAAAATTGAAGCATCTGCTGAGACAACAACTCAAGCTTCCAACCTTTATAGCCTCTCTGAGTTCAGATGCATCAAAGTGTGAAGCGCTCTTAACCATGGCAAGAACCAGTTTCTCAAAGTTTCCAGTGAGCTCAGACTTCAGATCGTGGGCTAAATCCTAAGAGTGAACACACAAAACAAAAAACCATGAAAGCAAGCTCGGCCGAGATATAGTTGCAATACAGGGCCAATGATTAGCGACAGATTACAGAATGAATTCCGACTGTAAAAAAAAACATTATAAAATGTACCTTTCCGTAAGTTGTTTTATAGGCCGCTACCATTGGAACCCTCTGCTTGTTGGTACGGCTTCCCAGAAGTTCAGTGATGGCATTTTCATCCGTGCCTGTTCAAAATAATTTTCAGGATCAATTTATGATGTGTAACAAAAGGGATCAATGTTGAGTGACAACACTTCAGATGGCTTTTAGCATATTCAAATAAACATTTACTGACCAAACCCCTTCATAGCTTTGCGAAGAACCTCAACATCCCTCAGTGGATCGGCCCCTGGAAAGTCTTTCAAAGAACCTCTGAACCCTTTCTATGAAAAATAAATAAATAAAAACATTAGCGGATAAAACACTACACACTAGCTGGATGTGCATTGCAACGTAGTCTGAGAGAAGTCCAAGGATGAAGATGAATGCCTCTTACAGAAATGGCAGGTGCCTGAGGGTTGGATGGAACTCCACTTCCATATCCCGGCATTGAGGGGGTATTCGCGGGGGCTCCGGGGTAGTTTGGCATGGGCTGGCCTGGGGCGGGGCCCCCTGGGTATCCCTGCTGAGCCCCTCCTGGCTGCAGAGGGACAGAGGACAGAGGACAGCTGTAAGTGCTAAGTCCATAGTGACATATAGAGCAAATAAGGTTTAAGTAGGAGATAAGGTGATTTAAGCAAACAAGAGATTTAGCTGAAATCAGTCCATATGTTATTAGGGATGTGGCACTGCCGTGGTTTAGAGCGAGATAAGAATGTATGTACCGCTCCATGTCCGCCTGGTGCTGCACCCCAGCCTCCACCTGCAAAGAAAATATTGACATAACATGCAAAATGCAATTAATTTAAAAGAACAAGTCTGCTGCGTGTAAAGCTTCACAATTCAAAAGACTATTTTGGAGCCTCACCTCCTCCTGGAGGCATGGAAGGATAGCCTCCTGCTCCTGCCTGAGGAGGGAAGCCTCCAGCTGGGGCAGGGTAGCCTCCAGCTGGGGCAGGGTAACCTCCAGCTGGGGCAGGGTAACCTCCAGCTGGGGCAGGGTAACCTCCGGGCTGGGAAGGGTAGCCCCCTGCTGCTGGAGGGTAACCGCCCGCTGCGGGAGGGTAACCGCCAGCCTGAGATGGGTATCCGCCGGCCTGCTGTTGGGGGTAGCCTCCGGCGGCAGGAGGGTAGCCACCTGCGGCAGGAGGGTAGCCGCCCGCCTGTGGAGGGTAGCCGCCCGCCTGTGGAGGGTAGCCGCCGGCCTGTGGAGGGTAGCCGCCCGCCTGTGGAGGGTAGCCGCCTGCAGCAGGAGGGTAGCCGCCTGCTTGGGGTGGATATGCCCCTTGTTGAGGTGGGTAGCCCCCTCCCTGTTGTGGGTATCCTGGGTAGCTCATCTTCAGAACCTAAAGGTGACATGAAGTTGTGGCTTGATACTGTGATGTATGAGGGTCATCATATGACCACAGCACATTTTGCAGGAACCATTCAAAAAGGAACACAGAATTTTCTTTAATTTCCAGTTAAAGTTAGATTTAATTGTACTTCCTAACTTGCTCAGTCTCCATGGTTTTTATGATGTGGTAACACAGACATGGATGTGTTAAAGTCCCCCATTTAGCTCCTTTTTTAAGCAGCCATATGAGTATGACATTTACTTAGTTCTCTAAAAATAACCCAAACTGACACCCAACCCTCTTACCCTGCATCCATTTGGTGTCATCATAATAAAATGCTCTAAACTCCAACAACTTCCGTAGGTTAATGAATGAGCAGCCACTTGCAGACAAGGCCCTCACTTGAGCCTCTCGCAGATTACACTCCACAGGCCGTGTTAGCACATCACCATTATGACGACAGAAACTCACCACTTTCACCTGCCCTAATCCTCAACTTATGATAATGACAAAAGAGCATGCTCATTGTTTTTTGACAGAGTTCAAAAACCCCAAACAAACACTGTAAAATGAAGAGTCGTTGTTGGAATTACACAACTGTTTGGGTGCCTCTGTGCCATCCCATATTCAAGCAAAACATTAATTACAGCTGCAGGTCTGTAAACTGTACTGAGCGACAAAGATACCCGGATGTAAAACAAATCGGCTGTATTTAGAGCTATTAGTTGTGGTTAAAGTTTAGATTTAGTTATTCTGAATTCAAAGATGCACCACAGAGTACTTTAGGCGGACATAAACACTGTGTTAGAGGTGACTTCATGAAGGGTGTGGACCTTTGTTAACTGGGTCTGCACTGGGGACGCCTTCAAGTATTACCGTAAATACCAGTATTTCCATCCCACCGCGCATTTACGACCCAGGGATGGGGTAAAGCAAGGTTATATTATTACATAATTATTATTATTCTTATAAAATCATTAATAAAAATCCCGATGTCCGTTACTTCTTGATTCCTGAAGCAAATTAGTAACCAATATGTTGCTACTGAATTAATACTGATCACGTTTTACAACTCATGACCTCTTCAATAGAACGCGCTAGGAGGGGCACGTTTCAAATTTGCGTTACACTTCCTGCGTATTTGTACGAGGAGCACTAGAAAGCAGGCTAAAATATAACGCAACATCCTTCATTCGGAGAATCACAGGCCTGTGTTTTCGCAACTCGCAGACTAACGTTAGCTGTGACTTTAAGATTTGACTGTACTCTTATATCCATCAACAATAAGTAGCGCCCGCATGCTAAATGTCACGCCAACATCTTTGATCTCCAAGAGCTTGTAGCAACCCTGCGGTCCGTTAACGTTACATAGTAGCTACTCCCAGACGAGTTACTGTTTGGCATTTAGCATCCAGTGTAAACACATAGCGGGAGGGACACGTAACACATTAGATACAGTTACAAGTATCAGTGCGCCATTTTGAATTACTTTTGAAATAATAAATAATAAAAAAAAAGGTTTGTTGCTGTTGAGCAACGTTCCAGCTCCATAGCGTCTGTTTAATTAGGCGAGGCTAATTCCCTACATTCCACAGTAAGCTGACGGAGGCTGCTGCATTTATTATTAAGTATGATCAAACTTCGTTGTCGCCTCAAACGCAATACAAGACGAATATTTCGCGGCTATTTGCAGTCCAAAAACATAAGATTTGGGGTTACTTACTTATCCGCAACGTACTTCAGATCCAGGAAGAGCCGAACGAGGAGTAGCAGGAGGTGGGTGGGTCCTCAGCATTGTTTCCGTCCTGCAGTATAACAATCTTTGCGCCGTTATTGTCCTCCACACATTAAGAGGAGAAAGCCTGACGTTGACTCGTCGGGCTGTCGTGTTTTCATTTTCACCCAAGAAGACACTGCAATGTTTGTCAAGAAGTGATTCGATTGTCCACGGTGATGTCACAAGCATTATATTGTGGATAATTAATACGCAATATTGTTGACCAAAATACTTTGAATACCTTGATTTTTTTTTTTTTTAAGTCCCTTGCCTGAAGACATTCAAATATTTTCAAATGTTTCATGGGCTAATGTGCAGTTTTTCCTGATATTTGAATTACGTTAAACGCTCAGTGTCAACATAAAACAAACACTAGAGGGCAGCAGTCTACTACACGAGCCTGGCAGACTGCAGCCTTTTAATTGTCGGTACACCAGGGTGGTTTATTGTCAGTCTACCTAAGCACAATGAAGTGTGGGATTTTCCTTTTTCAACTTTATCTTTTTGTATTTTATTTAATTTCATCGCTGTGTATGATGAATCTTACATCTAATGAGGAAAACATCCACATGTCTACCCCTTTATCGCTCCTCATCCTGCATCACTGCAATCAAAACAAACGTTATACTATCCATCCATCTTTGGCATCTGACAGAAAAGTTAGATAAAACACTGCAACACTGTTTTTGGTAAAGAGTCCGTGTTGTATAGGCGCAATTCAATGCTTTCTTAGAATGAAATAACTACTCATTTAAAATACCTCATGAAGGTCTATATTAATAGCATGCCACTTATTTTCCCTTATATAACTCCTAGTTTTAGACCTAAATATGCAAAGAAAAGTTAAGCACAAAGATGCAAACTCATGTCGGACCTCCTATTCGCTGTGACGCAGCCCTGAGAGTCGTGGCTGGAGCGCTGCTACTCGCTTCCCACTGGCATTCAGGCGTTTGCGCTTCATGCTTCTACTGCGCCCTCCCCCGTGACTGTTGTCCGGTAACTGGGGTCCTCCAGGGCTCCCCCAGGTGAACACAAAGATCACACATCACACATCCAGCCGGAGCAGAAGGGGGGATGACTGAAAGAAGTTGTGTGATCCAGAAAATCCGGCGGTTCTGACGGCGCTGTTCCAAGAGACGCAAACAATATGATGTCTGCCATAGAGAATGGTGCCCCTGTGTACCCACCGGCACAGCTGCTCAACTGGGTCTACATGTCTTTGCAAGACACTCAGAGCAGCACTTTTGATGCGTTCAAAGCCGAATCGGACACTTCCCCACTGGACATGAACGTCTCCAAGCGCAGCGCAGCTGATCTGAGCGCCAACTATCTTAACAACTTCTTCCATCTGAGGAGTGAGGTAGAATTCATGTCATGTTATGTCATGCTGTCATAACGTGGTGATTAACACTTTGCATTTACAAACTTCATGCCTTGTTGCACCCACTCACTCATCTTTTTCTAACGCTGCATGTCAAAAGTCTCTCTCCTAAGATGAATATTATACAAACATACCTCACTCCAGGTTATTTTTGTTGCCCATACAGTAAACCTCACCTGCATGCCTTCATTGGGTCGCACTGTGGTGAGTGGGCAGTGCATGAATATGGGTTCTGTACCCTGGTATAGTGCCTGAGTGTGTTCAGACTGTTCTGGTGTCAGTGTGCAGCTGGAGGGGGACTGGCAGGTTGAGAAAGACCTCTCACAAGTTTTTAAAAAATGTTAGAGTTCACCCTGGCCGGCCTCTGCTTGGTCAGAGGAGTATGCTGTGTTCACTCAGTGGGGCTTGCTGCTTATTTTAATACTGACCCATTTAGGAAATGTAAGGAAAACAGGCATAAGTCATTAAAACAAATCGGCATAAAGATATCATAATTTGCTGTACTTTTACTTAGAAAATCACTTTGCAACTTTAAGAATGAATCAATTCAAATAGCATACTGTAACTGCACCCATGCCACAACAACGTTACCAACTGTAATGTGCATGTGCATCTGATCACAATTCTCTTTCTGTGATGCCTTCAGAGTAAACAGCCAGTGTCTGCAGACTGTTCTCCATGTTTGCCCCTGCGGTGCCACAGCACCCGTCTCCTCCAGAGGCACAATGATGCTGATTGTGCCGTGGCAATAGAACAAGTTAGAAGAACGCGTGACAAAAGCATTTTGTTCTGACGAGGAAACGGACACTATTGGCCCACAGTGTAAATGCAGTAAAGGCAGCACATCTGCAGAATTGAAATAATGTCGGCTACTGTCGGAGACACGAACAGGAGAATCAATCAGGGTGATGGACTGACATGCTGCCTGAAAGGCTCTTTCATTGTAGAGTCATAAACAATAATGTTTTTCTCTTGACAGGCCTTGAACAACAATTTCTACAAGAGCTCCTCGCCCTACGGGTCCCTCAACAATATCGTGGAAGGCCTGAGCTCTCTGGCGGACCATTTCTCAGACCTCTCCCTGTCCCCCGAGACACGCAAACCCAGCAAAAGGCCGCCGCCCAACTACCTGTGCCACCTTTGCTTCAATAAAGGCCACTACATCAAAGATTGCCCTCAGGTGAGCCAGTCAGTGATGCTTCACATCAGTCACGTGCAGAAACTGCTGTGCAGTGGCAGTGTGTAGGCCGTTTGAGCTGTCTATGGTGTTTCAAAGAACATATGAGGTGACGTGAGTATGACGACGTATTTTATCTGATTCTCATTTCAAATCCACAAGCTTCCTCCCAGTTGTAGGTAGACAATTTTTTCAGTGTGAAATAGATTCCTTAGCTCATATTTGAGTTAGATGAACCACCGCAGGTTGGTAATGAGCAGCAGATGCCAGATTGCATCTGGGAGCCGGACTTAATGAAAGATGATAGGTTTCTCTGTGGATAGGCACGACCTCTACTCCAAACAGGAGAGACATATTACCACTGCTTTATGTCCAGCTGCGGATCCCCATTGATCATGTTCAGAGGGAAATGTCTGACATTTGTTAGGTGGAAATAATAAAATGGAAATAGTCACATGACTGATGGACAGGATGTGTGCAAGAAGCGAGGAAACAAAAAAAGCAGAAATTCAAATGGCTGGCCAACTTTGACTGGTCAGTTCTAAAAAGGTGTAATTGCTTTCTGTTGTGACGCAAACAGAGTATTTGCTAGCTGCACCATAATTCCATAGATATTAATACTGAGTGATTTCCATCAATTTAGTTTTTGTCAGTTTGTGCCAGAGATAAAATGTCACAATAGGGAGGGGTAGCGTCTAAAACATAAAATAGTGTTGGTGCAAGAGATCAATTAATAAGTTATAACATTCAAAATGTTTCATTTACAATACACATACGACTTTGGGAAATACACTTAATTGCTATCTTTCCGAGAGTGAAAGGAGAAGATAGATACCACTCTTACGTCTGTATGGTGAATAAGTTGCCGGAGACAGCAGCCTATTAGCTTAGCTTAGCATAAAGACTGGAAACAGCTATAGCCTGGCTCTGTTCAAAGACACGTAACCCTCCACTTTTGTTACCTTCGGACAGAGCCAGGCTAGCTTTTCCCAGTCTTTGCGTGAAGCTAAGCTACTAAGCTATTTACTGTGCAGATGTGAGGGGGGGGGTATTCTTTTGAATACGTTTCCCAAAAGATTCCTTTCACTAAGAAGGAAGAGTCTGTTATCTGCCCTGGCCACATCTTGATCACTCTCTTCCCTATAGCCTCGTCTCTGAGAGCTTGTCACCTCCATCACTGGTGCAGTTCAGCTGTGAAAGTGGAGGAATGCGAGGAATGTGGAGAAAATAAATTGCTGTGAGCTTATAGCGCTTAACATTTTCACATCTGTGCACACCTGGACTAACGCCAACAGAAGTTGTGTGTTATTGTTGGTTGGTCACTTTCAGAAATATGTCTGAAAGAATGTTCTAAAGAAGCTTTCAACCACTTTCAAATTGTACAACAACACACTGACACTTATTTTTGAATGTATGTGAGTATTTAGGGCGTCTTGCTGGATATCCTGACCAGAGGGAAAACGGTGTACATCCTAACAACACCACTTTTTGCACAGCATGTTTCTTTCGAATGAAGAATAGAGAGGCATACGTAAGCTGTTTTTTATGGAGTGGTGTAGAACATCTTATTAGCAGCAGTGAGTTTCTTCGGACTGTTTGTTGCAGGGCTTCCATAGCTGACTGGTTTGCACTGGAGCTGCAATAGACAGGAATCAAAGAATGTCACGGCTCAGTAAGATGAGAGAAGAAGCACACAGGAAGTGGGTGTGCGGGGCCTTTAACAGCCTCTCTCTGGGTGGAATGGGGCCCACGTCAACTCTAAAAGTCTGCTTCTTTGATAAAGAAACACATGGTACCTCAGTGGAAGCCTTAGGTGATGAAAAATAATGAAAAGTGCCAGTTAAGGCGGAACCCATGAGTTTGAGTTGCAGCCATACTGAAAGGTATTAGACATGCTATCCATGCTGTGCTCGACATGAAAGTGGTAAACATCCTGTTGACAGCATAGTGGAGAGTTGGGTTACTCGCTTCATCAGAGGGTTAAGACGTCAAAGGATTACTCTGGGATATTTACGATTCGTCTTTGCGGCCACGCCCCTTGAAATGTACAAAATCTGGAAACCATTTCTGCCGGCTGGCTCTGTGCCGCTCTCGCTCTGCTTTAGAAGGATGATGCCAGATTTTCATCATGTGTTGCTAATATTTCAGACCCACAGCGATGATTACGGAGCAGTTGTCATGACAAACGGCCTCTTCAGTTGAACGCTCTTCTGAAGCTGTAACTAATGAACAAACTGCTTTTTGTTCTTGTTGGCTGGAATCTGAGGCATTTTTAGCTCTAGAAGTACATACTGTTTGGACCCTTGATGACTTACTATCCAACTTGCAGTTAATTTAGTGTCTTCATCTGAAAATCATCTGTAATTTATACCATTTTGATGACAAAACTGTTTCTATTTATGACCATATTTGTGGCAAGTTTAACACCTTTCACCCATTAACCCAGGGTCACAGCATTTTATTGACCCCGCGCCAATTAAGTAGACGAACCCGGTAACTGTAAGGAGAATACACTAGTGACAGTGTGCTGAGAGTACATGGGTGTATGGTGGGAAGAGCCTGGGCTAAATAAGGAGAGCATTGTTTCTCCAGAGGGGCTGTGGAACCAAAGGTCAGGAAGTCAGGCTGTATTGTTCGCTTAGCTCTGCTTGGCTGCAGTCATCTCCGTCTCACTCTGTCTCTGTCTATGCAGAGAAGCGGCTGTCGGACACTCGTTTAAAGGGCCAGAAAGCAGCTGCCCAGAGATGTCTGCATCCAGAATGTGTTTTTGGAAACAGTGGGTAGCACAGGAAGTGGGTAAAGTTTGATCAGGTTTGAATAGAAGGAAAACGTCTGCCTTGATAATTACTTTGGAAGGAGGAACTTTTGATAGTTGCAGGGCTTGCAGAAAGATTCATAACCTGTTTGGTATTTGAAGGCTGAAACCTTCAGTTTGTCCCATTATTCAGTATCCTTACTGTGACTCCATTGGGTTGCTTTTAAACTTCTCAAAAATGGCGATTTGTTGTTTGTACTTCTTTTTTGTTTGGATTAAACAAACAGGATACAAAGTGTTAATTTGTAAGGAGTCAGGCTAACTGTTTCCACTTGTTTCTAGTCTTTGTGCTAAGCTAAGCTAGCTGGCTGCTGGACACGACAGCGGTGTAACAATTCCTTATTTTACTCTTGGCAATTAAGCGAATAAGATTAATAATGATAAATAACTTTCACATGAAATAATCTTCCACAGTCTTCGGTACTTCCCGTGGGAAGACTTTAAAGGAATTGCTTATACATATATACACATTCTTGCCGAGAGTTACATGAGAAGATGGATACCACTCTCACATTAGTTCGTTACATAAGAAGCAACAGCCAGGAGATGGCTAGCTTAGCTTAGCATAGAGACTGGAAACAGTCTGGCTGTTAACACCCTATATGTTGTTTGTTTACTCCACACTAAAATTTTTGAGCATCTTTTATGCTGTTATCTTGGTTCAAATACTGATAATGACATTAGTCTTGTTTTTGGACAGGGCATTGTACTTCAGGTGGAGCGATACAGTTCATCGCTGAATGTGGAACTGGTGAATCTCAAGCAACACACTGTCTGATGACTGTTGCTTTGGTTCTTTTGTTTTCACTGGTGGTAAACGTCTTATCTGTCCTCAGTCTGCTGTCTGTTGCTTTTGGCCGGATCATCTGCTGAGGAGGATGAGCAAGATAGAGGAAACCGTGGTATGCGGGGTAGATAGACTGCCGCTGATAAACAGTGGCTGTCTTCTGCTCAAAGCTAATGAACATAGAGGAGAAGAATGCTGTTGCATGTTTTCAAGAGAAATCACTGTTGATATCATGAGGAAATGTGGGTGAAAAGTCTCTCTCACTCTGTGGCTCCAAGTATACTGTATCACATCTTTAGTTATACATTATTTGTACCTTGTAACATCATTCCTTAGTTCTTTAACCCAAACCACGATCCTTTCCTAAACCAGACTTAATGGAACCTTGCCTTAATGGATTCTTTTTCACACGTATTGCTACTATTTAGTCTACATTTGAATGAGTAGAGGTTGCTATGAAGAGTATAAAGGTACAATAGATGCTGTGAAATGCTGTTATGCCTCTTTTACGTCAACTTCAAAATGTGACGGCAGAGTTGTATGCTCTTGTGTTCTTGTGCACCAATTCCTGAACATGACAATGAAATCAAACTACTAGCTGGCGTCTTAGCCGAACCTGAGCATTACTTTGACCCAACAGTCATAACATTTGGCCTTCTTGAGTCTCTCTCAGCTGTGTTTTGAACTGAAATTGGGAATATTGTGCCATTGTATTTCTTGTTTGTCTGCCAGGCCACCTGGTCCTGTCACTCACCCTTTGTGTAACGTAACACCAGTTTACAGCTGTGTGACTGCAGCTCAGTCAGACTGCCTTTGAATCTGTGTGTGAGGGAATCTCTCTGCAGGCTTTGAACAATGGGATTGATGCACGATTTAAAATCTGGAGAGCCATGTTGGAAAATAGAAATCCATTTGCTGTTTGGCCTCCAGTTGTTTTTATCTCATCACATTTGTTTTGGAGAGGGGGAAGGTTAATCCATTCAGTATTTCAGATGTGCAAGATTTGCAGAAAGGCTGCGTGAAAGGATTACAGCTTCATATACAGTAACTGTGACTTAACTGTCATCGTAATCTAATGTGCCCGTGAAAGTAATACTTCCGCAGGGTTGGATTTTCCTCAATATTCTCAGTTCCACTTGCTATTTGCTTCATGACAACTGTGACATTTAATCAAAAGGATCTAATGCAGTCTGAATCATTTCTGCATTATATTTGAAGAGTATCGTCGGGACATTTGTTTCAAACATGTTGCATCATGACAAAGAAAAGCCTTCTGAGTCTCTTAACTTTAAAAGTATCCACCCCATAGTCCACTTTGGCCACTTTCTCAACAAAGTAGAATTTCTTGGAAGTAGGACAACAACTATTATTCAAGGTGGTGTATTCAAATAGCTTGTTTTGTCCGACCAACACCCCCAAAGATATTTATTTTTACAGTGATATAAAACAGAAAAGCAGTAAATCATCACCTTGCAAACGCAGCATCCAGAGAATGTTTTGGCATTTCTGCCTCTTAAATAACCAGCAATTAAATGATTATTGCTATCAATAACACAACCAATCTCCTCACCTCTCTTTAGATGCAATAATAATTGTCTTCCATAAAACAAAACTAGCTATTCTGATGCTCTGGAAGATGGCAAGTCGTCAATTCGTTGCTTTAAACCCACCTGGAGATAACTAATTTCACAAGTTAATGAAAAGTGTCACTTAAGTCGACACAGGAGTCTTTAAAGCATAGGAGACCTATTGCTGTGGATTTCAGTCCAGGCAGTAATGTGTTGTTTTGCTTTGGTAACAGCTGGGCTTCTCCCTGATGCGGTGGGGGACTGATACAAATTAAACCCAGCGAGGGAGAGAGAGAGCACTGCGGGTTTGTTAGTGTGGAGTAATTGACCACATGGTATCCAATAGGCCTGGTGTTGCTGTGTTCTCCAGGATGAGAGTCTCATGGGGCAATGGAAGTGGGGGAGAGAGGGAGAGGGGGGGGGGGGGATTTGGAGTAGTCCATTGTTTATCCTGATGGTTTCCAGATGATGGCAGGGGGAGGCAGCCAACCTCCCGGGCCTCTCTCACCAGGCTGCATAGACCTGGGACGAGCTTATCTGCTACAGTCTTATAATCTGGCTTTACATCGCTCTGTGCACTCTGGGGCTGATTCAAGTTACACAACTGGAGTTATGGCTTTTGGATGCGATGAGTTGTAATGCATATTATAATTGAATTTAACGTCTATTTGTCTGAAACAAAACCGTTTCTCACAGATGGTTTGAGGCTGCAAAAATCTTCCATCAAATTTGTTTAAGAAGAAAATGTGCTGCCTATTTGATTTTTAGCTGCGTGAAAGGAAAAGTCAAAGCTTTAAGAAATTATGAGTCAAAAAACAGCATGCGTACACACTAAACTATAATGATGAACATGGTAAACATTATAACTGCTACATATCAACATTTTAGAATGTTAGCATTCAGCTCAAAGAACCGGTGTGCCGAAGTAGAACCTAAGAGAGTCGCTAGCATGGCTGTCGACTCTTAGTCTTGCTTGAATACTTTCTCCATTTTTAGCCACGGGGACTGTTACACCTTTTTCATTGAAATAGTGTTGTTGTCATCAAATCATGTTACTGTTTTACAAAATACCTGAAATTGCATTTTGGTAACAAGTAATACATGTTGTATAGGCCTTCTGCGGGTGTAAAATTGAATAATTCTGATTGCTTTACGTCGTTTTTTTATGCATTAGCTATATTGTGATATAGATATTGCCCAGCACACGCACAGTGTCTTAGTTTGAATAATATTTAGTTAATTCATAATTCATGTTTCTTAAAGGCACACAATAAAAAAAATATTCTTAGGTATGTTAAATAACTGGTTGTGTCTTGAGAGCAGAAGGCTTGATGATGGATTTGTACATAGTTTCTGAAGTTACTCAAACTTTCCTGCTTTCCATAAGAGCATCCAGTCATTGTCGGGTCATGAGTGTGATTTTCATTTACCGGTTGTGACTGTCACATGTTTGATGGGACCGGTGGAAACTACAGACTGTGCCATGCCCTTTGCTGCCCTGTGGGCTCCGGACTTTAGGTAGAGTTTGTTTTGCTTGTTCTACGGAATGAAAGCTGTTTCCTCCCTCAGGAAGATGATGCTCTGCTCTCCCTGTAGGCGCTTGGGAAAGAGGGCTGCCATCAAAGGTGACCTCCCACAGTGCCTCATGGTGGCTAAATGATGCAAACACATGCCTCAAAATGCTTCACCGTGGCCTTCACAGTCAAGACACTCGACTGTTGGAACCTTAAACACATTTAGTTAAACACATGTATTCCTGGAAATGAATAAAATGATCTGTAAGAAGTTTTGAGCCTGACATATGTTCCTGCTGTGAAATCAAAACAAGGTTTGACGTGAACTCCTCTGGTGGTGCAGATTCAGACTTAATTTTGACTTGCCCTACTTTCCAGCCGAGGTGCTTTTAATTTAAACCAGTCTTGTCGAGATGACTTCGTTGTGATGGGTTATGGATTTTGTCATGTTATACAAGTGCAGAGTTCATCTGGGTTTTATTTCCTCTCTGCTAAGATCTTTATGTCCTGATTGGTGAGTCGGAGGCAGCTGGGAGGGATGACTGAGAGCCTAAGGTATTTGTCCTATAGTGGGGAGGCCTCTCCCATTGGTCCCCCCACAGGCCAGGGCCTCCTTCATGGTCCCTCGGGAACACAGCTGGAGGGAGAGAGTTCATTTCTAATGGGAAAGCTGAGACTCCTTCTTTTCTGTTCAACAAATACCTTCAGATGGATTCAGAGCATACATATAGCAGCAAACAACAATTTGCTTTGTAAAGATATAGTGGAGTATGTCTACCTGAACAGAGAATGAGGTCGCTCTCCCCGTGTGTGTGTCGTTATCCGAGCTTCTCCTTGCATTTATTTACATTATACATTGTAAGAAGTGGACGTAGTCACTGTGACGTCACCCATTGGTTTGTGGACTGCAGTTTCGAAGCCTTGAGTTGGGTTTTTTTGGTTTTTAGCCGTTGCCATCTTGGCTTTTGGCAACCAGAAGTGGCACGCGAGGGTGTACAACCGAACGCTGAAGTAGACATTTTTAGGCGACCAAAAAGGTCACAATGAACAAACTGAAAACACTCTGAGAAAGGGTTAAAGTTGTAAGACAAAAACACGGAATGGACAATGTTGTGTGAGCCACACCCTAGAGCACACCATGTTTTATCATCTATTTTACTCTACATGGGACCATAATTTACAAAAGGAATATCCTGCTATTGAAGAAGACTTGAAACTAGCGATTTAGACTAATGATTACTGAGGTAATAAATCAATTGAGAAGTAGGGTCATTTTCTCATAGACTGACACATGCTGTCCCCTGCTGGCTATTAGTAAGAATGCAAGTTTAACCCGTAACAGAGAGCAATAGAAGTGGTTTCAATAACCACAGATAAGTTCTCTGCAGTTCGATTTGAAAACTGACAATAAATATTGTTAAGATATTATTCAGCTGAACTTTATGTATTTGAAATGACAGTCAGTTGTTGACTACATGCAGACGTCAATACAGCTGTTGGCGTCTTCGATAGATATGGGACTAAATCATAGCGCAAATTAGATATTATTGTGATGTTTCGGACCTTTGCATGAGGAAATTCTCTCGAACTGAACCTTGTTGAATTTTTATTTAATATTCTATAGTTCTATAGTTTAGATAATATAACAAGGTCCCTTTGTAATATATGGCTCACTCTTCCAGGACTGCATTAATCAAGCATCGAAGCAAACAAACTCTTTAACTTATTTTGACAGAAACCATAAATAATCATCTCATTCCCGAGACAAATCCACTCCAGAAACTCGGCTCTCCTGACCACCAACAGGGCTGCTATCACTTCCTGTTCCAATCCTGCAGAGCTTTAAATTGGCTGCCGTCCAAAAAAAACCCCTAATAGGTCGTTCAGCCTCACACAGTTAACGGTGGTCAGAGGCAAAAGCCAAAATATTTGCAAAGCTGTCGAGGTTTACATGTCGATAAATGTCTTTGTTTTTAAGCTGTCGTAAGCTTCAAGTGGGTTGCACACAAGGTCAGTAATGTAAGAATTGTTTGCTGTGTATTCCTGTTCAGGCTCGACCAAAAGGTGAAGGCCTGACCCCGTATCAGGGAAAGAAGAGGTGTTTCGGTGAATATAAATGCCCTAAATGCAAGAGGAAGTGGATGAGCGGGAACTCCTGGGCCAACATGGGACAAGAATGTATTAAGTGCCACATCAACGTTTACCCTCATAAGCAGGTAAAGCTACATCAGACCTACATATACAGAAGGAATCAGCAAATGTGGAAATCACATCCTGTGTAACTGTAGTACAGTCATACTGTTGCAGGTGAAATGTTTTCATCTGCAAAAATACATGAACATGCATTTTAATGTTATTTTAAAGTTTAACGTTCGTTTATATCACTAGCGTATGATAATACCAGACCCGTGGACTGTAATGTATATGTATGTAAACTCCTTCACCAGTCATTAAAAAACATAGAGGAAGCCACGGTTATGTCCTCAGTGTTTCTGGGACTTTAAGGGTTCTACTGACTGCTCCGACTGTGATGAGTGATTCCGTTTCTTTGTTCCAGCGACCTCTGGAGAAACCGGACGGGTTAGATGTGTCGGACCAGAGCAAGGAGCATCCACAACACCTGTGTGAAAAATGCAAAGACCTCGGCTACTACTGCCGCCGCGTGCAATAAAAACTCTCTACTTGCCTTATGATCCTTTCAAAGCTTTATAAAACAGGGAGATATATTTTATTTACAAAAAATACATTATTGACTTCGTTGGACTTAATGCATCTAACGGTTTTATTGTCATGACACTCTCTTTGACACTGTGACTCTCGGTATAAGAGGCTCATTTTTTTGTTTTTAAGTATCTCTCCATGGAGTCGAGTTCTTTATATTTGCTGGGTTCTTGTAACTTACTCAGCAGTCATTATGTGAATATTCATTTGAAGTCTTTAACTATGAATCTTACCAACTGTGAATTAAAAAAAAACGTAAGTTCTGTTTCTGTCTTCACTCATGTCTAACATGTTGGAACAAAAGTTTCCGGATGAAGAAGATTCTCTTTTTCATGTTTGTATATTCCAGAAATAACTTAAACGTAATGATGTTTCTGTATGAAATATGCAACAAGTCTTTACTAAGTAGGATATGCAGTATTAGTGTGTACCTGCATTATTATTATAATCTGTATTATCAGTACTGGAGGGTACATCATTTTTGAATATATTTTTAAGCCATTACTGTTTTGATTATTACACATTGTGAAGGAATATATTAGCCAACTAACATTTATTCTTTATAAGTATGCGTCTGTAGGAAGTTTGTCATTCCAACTATGAAAACAATATGGTAGAAACATTTAGATTCCTGAAAAATAGAATAAATTACAGAAGTTATATTTTAGCACCCAGTGCCAAGAAAGTCTCTCCAAAGTGCTTTTCATGGGTCAGAGGTCGTAATGTCTCAGATGTAAAATGAGTTCACATCCGCACCAAAGATCATTAAGTGGAAGGTTGCATGTGCATGTTGATTTAGAGGCTCTTTGTATTTCAATGAAAGTGTTATGATACATGAATATGGAACAGAAATACACTGTAAGATGTGTGAAACACCATTTATTGTGCCTTAATTCAAATGATCTCTTCAAATGTTTTTGTATTAAAATGTATTTAAACTTGTCCCTGGTTTCTATTAGAGCATTGTTTTTAATAAATCCATGTGTCAGGGTGCATTAGGGCAGATGGCAAAGTCAAACTGATAACATCAAATTCTGTCTTCAACATTAACTGATCCAGATGTTGCACATTTTTTTATCTCCCCACATAAAACAGAATCGCCATCTCCCTTAATATTTTTCCAGCATCTGGTTAAATTTACTTATGGCGAAGCAAAATCTGATTTGGCCTCATCACCTTCTCATATAGCACAGCTGGCAGAACCAAATGCAACGTGACCGAACCTCCCCCCCCGCCCAAAAAAACATTTCCCTTTGCAAAAGCAATTAGATCTGACGTTTTAAACCTCAACTATTCTGGAAAGATGTCCGCACAATCAATACTTCGCGGAATAAGATCATCAGTCAACATAGGCTGATGAGGAAAACAGAAGGCGGACACTGATGTCATTCCTCCGCTAGTGATAAAACATTCGCCTCCTCCCTATAAACGGACACACCTTTGACTCAAACAGCTTCGGTAAAGCATTATGTAACACTTTGACATCTACGGTCATGTAGTATAAAAACAGATGGCAAGAACAAGCTTTATTTAGAAAAAATGACTTTATTTTTCACAGACTAATGCCTCTTTTCCAAACCCGTTTCACTGCATGTTCATGTATTAATATCTCCTCAAATACAATAGAGGTCGTAATTTTGTATTCAAAAACACAAGTTCACATTTTATACCATGTCACAGTTAAGTGTGTTAGCTGTGCTCCCTGAAGAAAGACTAACACAGAAATGAAGCGTCAGTATCTACTGCCAGGAAAGAGAGGCAGCACTCTGTACCATGACTGAGGAAAGACCCTCTTTCCCTCACACTGACATTACAGCAGGAGATGAGACTTCGACCGTGTCCACTGCTCAGAGTCTAATCAAGCTCTCCGCAGTCTGTGATAGTGATCCTCTTGGAGGTTCGCCCAGATTGAGAACCGAAAGACTCCACCTTCTTGATCACGTCCAGTCCCTCCGTCACGCTGCCAAAGACAACATGCTTGCCATCCAGCCTAAATGAAGACAGCAAGAGGTTTATTATCACAGCTCCGGACTGTTGGACAACCCATCATGCACCCAGCAGGGCTGGACTCTTGGCTTTCCGTTGGGTGATGCCACTATTTCTGCAATTCCTGCTGTTTTAGGTCATCATTTAAATCCTCAAAAATCCTTTTTTACTGTTGTGTCAAAGCATTACAAGACTTCACAGCAGGAAGAGATAAAAAACAATCTGAAACAGCATTTTAACAATTACCTGACATTACTGAATACCAGTGGTGGGCCGTCAGGGCCAGCTAAGCCTTCTCTGCTGGCCTAAACAGAACCACAAAGTTATAGCTATTTTATAATTTTTCACAAATACACTACATGTATTATACATTTTTTTCCCCCCCATTAGCTTATTTTCTCATTGCACAGCTCCTGTCTTCCTCTGTTGCTCTGCTTCCAGCACAGCTTGTTTTAAGGAGAGCTTTTATCCAATCAGATTCAGCCCCCATTTCTCTATGCTATGCTAACCTGAGGACGCCATAGCGAATGCCGAATGCGGAAACGCCGGCCGGCGTTGTTATTGTTTCCGGGTTCAAAATGTCACACATCCCGTTGTCCGTTACGTGAGCGCAGTTATAGAAACAAATAACCGTAGCTCAATAGGACAGCACAGAAGGCCCAGCTATAAAATGCACGGCCTGCCACTGCTGAATACATATTATAAAAAGTTCACAAAAGCCTCCTAAACGTAGATGAATTTGATGGTTGGATGGTTGACCAAAGTTTTAATATACTATTCAAGCGAGGGGCCTCTGACACACTGGACTATAAATACAGTGGTGGTGATGACACATCTTTGTCCATGCTGTGTGAGACTCACAGTTTGCTAAATGTTTGAAAGTTGGCAGTGTCCAAACTGCACACTGCCAACCCAAGCACTCACAGTATTCTTGCAAAATCCTTGGTTATGTGATTTTGCATTTTTATATAAAGCGATCTGTACTTATATGTGGATGCTTTTACACTCCTAGTGTTCAGTTAAACCCCTAAAAACGGGAGATAAAAAGTATTTGATGAAAAAGGAGAATAATCTGGATTTGTTCAGTTTAGCTCATTGCACAGGGTCTTCGGATTTGTACAGATGTCAGACTTTAAAAGACCAACAACGGTGAAATGTAATAGAACAACTGCAGTTGCATCAACCCGGTTAATGTTGTGTTTGACAGCACATACCATTCTGTTTTACTGGTGCAGATGAAGAATTGGGATCCGTTGGTGTTGGGTCCAGCGTTGGCCATAGACAAGATGCCTATAACGCAGCAATTAAAAAGTCGTTACTTTAAATCTTGTCACACATTTAAGCCTGAAAGTAACTGGAGTGATGAGCGGATATTTGTATAACTCTGCCACCTGGTGGCGAAAATGAGTAAGACCAACCACTTGACAATGAGGAACACTAGGCATCAGTTTATTTACATTACAGAATATTTTGTCTTCTTGCAAAAGGTATAAAAAGGAACCCACATGTCTTTTAGATTATTCTCAACATTTAAGTCAACATGTAAAATACTTAATCTGTTCCTGGTCTGTGTTTGATTTTGGCTCAATATAATACTATTATAATGACCAGCCTGGTTTCTAATACTTTACTGTAGAAAAGACTTCCTGAAAAACACCAGCTTATCTGTCTGTGACAAATACTGCAGCTTCTCAAGTGTTATGCATTTGCATTGTATCCCACTGTGCAGTCAAATCTTATTGTACTCTGTAGTGGTGAAGTCGACATTCTTAATGCTGCAGTTTGTGCAGCTTTGTCCTGTTTGTCACGTCAAAGGAAGTACTGAGTTTTGAATTTAGATGGCTGGAATACAAACCGACTTGCCCTGAATGAAAGAAAGAAAACGGAAATTGATTGTTCGCAGTCGTGTACACAAACAACGGGATGATTACCGGGTCCAGTGTGCTTCAGCTTGAAGTTCTCATCAGGGAACTTCCATCCATAGATAGACTTGCCTCCAGTTCCATTGTGGTTAGTGAAATCCCCACCCTGAAAAACATATCGGTGTCACTGCACTGTAACAGCTGTGATGCTGGACAACAAAGGGGACACAAAGGGGACAAGCCTACCTGGCACATGAACTGCGGGATCACCCTGTGGAAAGTAGACCCCTTGTAACCGAAGCCGTGCTCCCCTGTGCACAGCGCCCTGAAGTTCTCTGCAACAAAGATTTCTGTCAGTTGACGATCCACACAGGTCGGTTGTTTCCTCAAGTTAAATGTCGGAACATCAGGGGATCCCAGCAAAAAAAAATCATATTTGAATGTGCGACGACTTCAACTAACTAGTCATTTCTTGCAGTGCTTTTGTCTTTTGAGTGCTGGGTTTCTAAAGTCAAACATTCTGATTTGACCAGAACACCCGTAGCACATTGAATATCTGGTGAAGTTCAAAGTACCACATTTAAAACCTTACTTAAGTAAAACTTTTATCAGCGAAATGGATTTTAAGTATCAAAAAAGAAAAGCACTCAATATGCAGTAATACGATCCCATCAGTATTATCAGTACCATTATATATGGTGTCATTGGATCAATATTAGTGCTGCATTAATGCACACGTTGCATTTTACTGCTGAACTTGGGGACGGTTGCACCAACTTGAACTCATTTGCATATTGTTGGCTAGTTTATTCCACTGCAAAGCATCATACTTTATAAGATCATTATGTGTGTAGCTTCGCTGTCCTGTGAGAAACGCAAATCTCTAATAACTCAGCTTTGAAGAGGATGCATTCTCTAAAGCCGTCAGGCAATATTTGCCACTCAGACGGAGCACAAGTATTTACCTGCGGTCTTTGGCACAACTTCAGCGTTGAGCTGCAAAAAAAAAAAAAATTAAAAAAATGCCTCAGGGTTAAATCTGTGAACAGCTTGTTCTCTGGAAAACTTCAAACACACTGTCGGTTGTTCAGCAGGTGCTGTTTTCTTAAGAAGCCCAAGGTGCACACATTGAATGGTGTGGTCTCACCTCAAAGGTTATCCTCCCGACAGGCTGGTTGTCTGCAGCAATGTCAAAGTACACCGACGGGTTCTTGTTGGCGGCTGCAGGGCCGCTGCTGCACATGCGCGCGGCGGTAAACACCAGCGAACATAACTTTACCCTATTTGATAAAATTAACATTTTCCAAACTAATGCAGTTCACTAGTTCGCTCAGGTCGTCAATGAGCAAGTGTCACGCTTACATATGGGTGGGTGAGGGGCGGAAGCTTTTCTTACACCACCGGAAGTATATTTTCTCTTAGCAGCACCGGTTTGAAATATCGCGAGATTACACGTGATCACGCGTCACCAGCAGCAAACACTTTTGATATGTAGAAATACCATCAACATATAGGTAGCACAAGACAAAAACATAAATATACCGACATAAATGTATTTAATAACGTACAAAATACTTTCATGGAATGAAATCACACAACATATCATTTCATGAGTGCAAATGGAGCTTTTTGTTTCAAATTGCAGACCTTTAGGTTTGGAACCAATGGACTAAACTTCCTAACAGAAGTAGTGTAAAACTGGCTCCACCTCGAGCAGCTACAACAGTAAGCTTCTGCTCAGACATCAATGCATCAGTATTAATAATATAAATTATTATAATATAGGTCATATAACTGATCAACTGCATTCCAATGAGTCAGTTTACAGACATTGTTTCCGTTATTATGGGATGTTAATGAATGTGGGCACCTATTATTTCCACATAAGTACAAGCTGGCTTTAAGCTACATTTAATTAAAACGCGATACCCATAATCTACACCTTCTGCTTGCATAAACAGCCCGTGGGAGTTAGGCAGGTGTAATCCTTAGACTATGATGCAAGTGCACAAAAGACAGGACCACAGTGACATACAGGTATCATCTGAATACATATTTATTAGATAAATATTAGGTTGTCACATCATCTAACTACATACAGTTCTGCAAGACTAAAAATCACAATTAGTTCCTTTTATTTTCTGACCAGTTTAGAATATGAAATGATTGTACATACAATGTACACAATAGAGACAATGGCCACATTGCATGAATCACCTTAGATTGTATGATTTTTCCAACTGCTCATCATATTAAAAAATTGTACAAACTATGGATTTGGTTACAATCTTCTGGACCCGTCCCTCCCACCCCTCCGAACTATTTTCTTTGTAACCTTTTTTTTTCTCTTCCTTTTTTAGTTTAGCACCTCAAGGGTATGCAGGTGACAGACTAGAACACTCAGGCTAAATATTACATGTAAAACAGAGCTGTCCCAGTTCCCCTAACAAAAGAGGTGAAAGCATATTACAGAGGGAGAACAAAATGCTGAGAGATACCCACAGACACTAACTAACAAGTTTCATTTTCCATATTCAGCCACTTCCAGTAGAGGGGTTGCAAGCTTTTTATTATTCTGAAGAAACAATGCACATTCCCAGGGAAAATGAATACATTTCTGTTCACATGTCTCTATATTCATTTACATATGTACAGGCATCCTTGGGACGTTTGATCTAGCCTTGCCCTCAACATCCTTTCCAGGCCACAATGATGAACGTGCCCTTCCCCTTTTTTTAATTTTCCTTTTTTTAAAACAACTGTCCCCAAAGAAATGGCCCTATATTGTGATTGTGCCACTACATATTTGAGGTGCTGCCTTACACCAAATTGGCTCACTTGAAAGTGAGAACAAAATGTGAAATGATGATGACGTCCATGGGATCGATCGAAAGTTTCAATTCTGACCGTAAAATATGAAAATGTGGCAGTGTATTGTTAAAAGAGGGATTTTCGATTTGATGTCTCTTTGTGACATAAATATGAAACAACATGTCAGTGTGCTGAACTGGAGCAAATAATATTTCGCTTAAAATATGCTTAAAATAATGTTTACATAAAACCAGGGTGGTTAAATCAGCACAATGCTACAGTTGAAAGAAATTGGATTTCTAGCCTTACAGATTAATAAGAAAACCAGTACAAAATAATTTACCAAAAAACAAAAAGGGGATAGAAATGTATATGGTCTCATGCTTTTAAAAAAGCCACATTTTCTATAACAAAAATATAAACAATATCATGGATTTCTTTAAAATATGGTTGTGATACCACTGTGTATTGACAATTAGCAACAATTATGATATTCACATAGGTCACTAATTACACTGAAAGCCACATCTTTTTTAAACCATTACTGTTCAGTATCACCGATAAAATGTGAACATCAATTGATGAATAGACAACATTTTAAATAAAATGCAATCGGAGCGTAACAGAAAATATTGCGTCAAATCGCGCTTGGCATCTAAAAACTAAAAAACGAGGCAACACAATCACTGTGAGCTGATGTAGGGAAGGGGGGGGGGGGGCACATAAAAATGTGACACCTGTCTATAAATGACAGGTGTGAGACAGAGTGCACTGGGAGGAAAGTGACTAGAAAGCACGGCGACCTGCAGGAAATAGCTTATGAGACATTTGGACTGGCCTCCCCACAACAAGGAGGCGAGACAGCTGTCGTATGCTGGTTACAAACAAAGTCAGTGGTTAGATGGGAGTCTGGGAGCATACGTTGTTAGGTCGGACGACTAATGATCAAAGGACAAACATTATCAAGATGATACAAAAATATTCACAATGATATTTACAGTACAATAGCATTTTTTTTAAAAATAATACATTTGCATACTGAACAGCACTCTTCTCAAAAAGTGAAATTGAAAACAAATGTGGCAAAAGGTCTGCACCAATACTGCTTTAAAAGCCACTTCTTGAACAGCAGTGATGGATAAACTGTATTTGTCCTCCCCTATATCTTTGAAATCAATATTTCTTCCCATCACACTAATAGAAACACATGCACACAATCTCACACACACTCACTCATGCACGCACTCTTACACAGGACCAAGCAAATACAACACATCTCCATTCTCATCCCTCTAACTTTGGTGATGTTGAGCAGTTTCCCAAAAGATTTATGGATAATTAAATTATGCAGCAACAAAAAACAAGAAAACAAACAAACACAATACAGTATATCCAGCAAATACACGATAATTGTATTGCAGATATCAGCATTATCCCTTCAATGTTAGTGTTAAATAAATCATACTAAAATCGGACAGAAATCAAAAACAAACGTACAAACAAAAAAAAAGAGCCGTGAAAAAAGCAACTGATAAAAACCAAATATTTTTTTGTTACCACTTGGAACAGCACTAGACAAGGGCTTGGCACACATGCACTTTGTAGACTACTTTAACAGCACATCATTTAACAGGGAGAGAGATGCATCATTGCAAAATTGCTGACACGAGCGACACCGGGGCTCATGCGGAGCAGACGGCATGGAAGGAGTCATAGCAGGAAGCAATAAACGCAGCAGGATCTATATGGAACCCAGATCTCTCATATTGTACCGTTCCATTAAAATCACTCCTCTGCACAGGAGGACGATAAACTATACAATATGTAGAAGTACAGGTATGCTATTCTTGGTGTGCAATATAAACTTTTGTTTTTTGTTTTAGTGGGGCCAAAATCTTCTCTGTCTCACCACTCAACTGTCAGGACTGAAAAGCAGGTATACCTCTTTTTGACAAAAATATGTATGTATCACAATTGTAGACAAAGTGGAAGCCGATCATTCCCAAAAATCTTTTTAAAATGTTGAGCAAAAAATTATTTAAAAACATTTTTGTCAAGGACAGACATATGCTGATCTAACAGATCATTATTTTTTTCCCTTCGTAAAGACAGATTTTTCATTTCGCATTGCCAGAATCTCTTGTGCTTTTAAATGATGTGTGGCGGACAAAACAGTGCGGCTAACCAGACCAGTCAGGGAATGGAGCTGTGACACCAGGAAGCTGTGGCCTCTCAGTTTGGAATAACAATATGGACGTAGCGCACACTGGCCAGATAGCGCAGGTTTTTAACAGATATTTTTCTTTTATACATTGAACTCCATTTTTCTTCTCGAAAGGAAACAAAACATGAATAAAAAAATGCTACAACACGTTCCTAATGTGCACACATACACACCTGTGTGTGGCGTAAAAAAATAACCGAGTATAGCTGCACAGTTCAAAAGTATCGCCAGGGGCGGGGCCCGCATCCCGCCTTGTCTTGGAGTTTTTACCTCTTTCAGTCAATCTGTGCTGGCCAATGAAAACTGTACAAGAGGAAGAAGAGAAAGGGAGTGCATCTTTGTGTTTATCAAGTACTGAGCGACCGCCCTGGGTTCTCGGGGGAAACTGCAGGCAGTCAGAAAAGTTTATGTGTGTCTGAATTGCCTCAGTTGTTTTCGAAGAGCGATAGAAGGTCATCGTTGCTATTGCTGGGGAGGTCTGGTGGATCCAGGTACGACAACAGCTCATCTGGGTTCGCGAGCTCTGGAAGAAGCTGGAAGGAAGGAAGGAAGGAGGGAAGGTTTGGTTAGTCATTGAAGTGAACACAGATTATTGAAGAGTGAAATGTTCCGCTGTATGTCGCGACTCACGTCTAAAGACGGCTCAGGCATGTCCGACCCTGCTTGGCTGTCCAAACTGCTGGAGGGGTTGAAGGCCAGGTCGCCGTGGGGATGGCTGTTGGGGCCGGGCGGCTGTTGTTGCTGCTGAGGAGGCGGAGCTTGTCGTGACGGCTGAGGAGGCCCGCTGTGGTGTAGCTGCTGTCCCGATTGGCTCCCAGGGTGCGGAGATGCATGTAAGCTCTGCAGAGGACCATGCGACTGGTCATTGCCTGCAGAGTGAGGTATCTGCAGGGAGACGGGGGAAATCTTCAGACTAACTAATACTCATTTTAATGACTTAATCAAAAACTGTCTAGAAAATAGAGAAAAAGGCCCATCACAATTTTGATGACATCTTCCAATTGCTTGTTCTGTGGGTGAATTCATAATGGTTTGTAGCGTCAGTAATTTTATCTTACAACGAACACATCTTAGCTTTAAAGGCATAGTCCAACATTTTTGGAAATGTGCTTATTAGCTTTCTTCCTGAGAGTTAGATGACAAGATAAATACCAATATTATGTCTGTACAATAAAGATGAAACAGCTGGTTAGCTTAGCAGCAGTAACAGCTTGCCAGGCTCTGTACAAAGTTCCTTTCATTTTCCTTTCCTAGTTGTCATGACGAAAATGTCTACGTTCATTCTGCATTGTAGTTCACATTAAAAACTGAAATAAAAGCTCACACCTGATTTATATAGCTTACAAAGAAATAGTTTAACAGATCAACGAGAAAGCAAAACAGAGAAATGTGCAGCAGAAATGTGAGAAAAAAACAAAGAGGAGGCTGAAATGCAGAGTTGATAAACTAAACTCACTGAGTCAGGCATGTTGTGTGAGAGTGGCTTGTCTTGGGTCATCAGGCTGTTGGGCATGTCGGGTGGGTGAGACAGCTGGGGACCGTGCATGAAATCATTCATCGACGTACCACCAGGCGTGCCGTGAGGAAAGTCGAAGTTCCCGTGCCCCTGGTAACTGTTGCCTAACACACAAAATCAAAAACAGTGAGTTATTTTACGCTACTTTTGAGGTGCATCTACCCAACATTTAGACAATGTTTACTGAGGCACGCGAGGTATAATGACTTTGTATCCTACCTTGGCTGCTGTATTCACTGTTGTTGCCCCCTTGCTGAGAAGATAACAACGGGTACGGTGAAGGTCCGGGGCCAAGCTGAGCTATCATCTCCATCACATTGGGCATGATCATCTGGCTGGGGCTCATAGTCTTAAACCTCTTGGCCAGCGGTCCATCTGGATCCTCCTTGATGTGGATATCAGATTTAATAGCCACCGGCCGCCAACTACATGTCGGGTCAATGGTCACCTCCTCAAACTCCGAGCTGGTGAAATACAGATGAAAGGTTAAGATACAAGGAAACAAAGAGAAAAAAAACGATATGCACTGCACATTTGTTTTGAACTTACTTTTGAATGGCGTTCAAGATTCCCCACATGTACTGGTCCACTTCGAGTCCCTCTAGCAACGCTGTTTTACTGAGGACAGAAAAGAGACGGAGCTTAAAATGCTGGGAGAGACAATTACGTGGATTACAGTCAAAAGTACAGTCAGGGCAAATACTGTTATGTATTCAAGCTGGAGAAACCTACTTGCATACAGGACATCGCCATGTCCCCCGCTCACAGTTGAGTTGTAAATATGATTCCAAATCAAAACACTGGAAGAGCAAGAAAAAAAGTCGCACTTGTTAGCCAGTACATTATTTCCAAATCCTTCTTTTCATGTGCTGTTTGACTCTCAGTGCGTTTGTTTATCCCTGCAGTGCTTACCTGTACGTGTTTGCAGTCATGGCCTCTTGCTGGAAGTTGTATTCGCCGGAAGGTGATTGGACATTTGAGGGAAACCTTAATGGCCGTCTGCTCCACGCCGTCTTCGCCGTTGAGCGTTGCGTTCCCCGATGATGCTGCAACGCTGCTGAAGTTCCTCTTAACTTTGAGACAGGAGGAGAGGAATATAATGCGTAAGCAGGGACTCTGAGAACGATCAGGACATTAGGGTGCAAAATGTGACTGTGTCTTTTTTTTTTCATATACCTTTGGTGATGCAGTGCTCTGCAGGCAGAAGCCTCTTCTTCAGTAAGCCCTGGAGGACGGAGCGAACTGAGGGCCTGTGGACAAGCTGCAGCACAAACAAGTGCGACTGCAAGAGGAAACATCAATGTCACCATCACAAACTACTTTTCAACATGTGTATCCAGAGTAGAAAAAGACGGATCTTTTTTTTGTATTTTGTTCTAAGCTTTAGCATTAAATATAATCTGCAGGTAGTTTTTTTTTTTTTTACGTCTGACTTTTATTTATCTGGCAACTACTTTTTGCATCTGGTTTTGTATAAACCTCTTTTTATTAGTTCTGCAGATTTGTGTACTCACACAGCAGCAGGCAGTGACTGTGATCTGGATCGTGTTCCTGCCTGGCTGGCATACTTGTTTCAAGTGCAGGGGTTTGTGAGAGGTCTTATTGTCGCCCCGCTCGATGGTGAGCGGTGTGGCGTTTACGCTGACTTGGACAGATGCCGGCCAGTTGGTGTTCATCTGACGGTCTTCGTGGTGGTAGCACTTAAACTGCAGCTCCAAATCCGATCTGCACAGACAAGCAACAAAAGATATTCATTAAGGAGTGTTACAGAGTGTCCTGTGGGACATAAAAGACAACCACAGTCTGATGTTTGCATCCTTTCCAACCTCCAAATCAATCCTAAAGCAAACAGACCACCAGTGATGGGAGGCGAAATTTAGATTGATGTCGTCTCACAATGTGGCACCAGAAAGAATTCTCATTGCAAGACTCTTAATAAGCTCCAGATGGGAGAGTGACTTTGGCGTGAGAGGGGAGTAATGGGAATTATAATAATCTAAATCAGAGAAAATGAATGACGTTCTGCAAGTTAGTTGGGAATAGTGGGGGGATTTGAATTTTTTTTAAATAATTCTCAGCGGCAGACAGTATGACTGCACATCCTTTTCAATCAGTTTGCCAAAGGTTAAGATGACTTGAAGAATACCCATTGGTTCTTTACTTCAGGTCTCTTATGTGTAACGTCATTTCCCTGTTGACCGAGAATCAAATGATCAGTGAAGCCAGAAAGAATAATAGAAGAAATTGAGATTCTTGGAAACCAGGTCTTTGTTTTATGCAGACTGTTAAATGAGTACAGTGAACTGGGTATAGTTGGGTGTCATCCAAATAACTATGAATGGACAAATAATGTGTTTTTCAGTTATTTTGAATAGATGATTCACCTTACACTGTTGTCCTTGTTATGGCTAACCCCAAGTTGTTTGTGCACAAACAAGGCTGGTCATGTCAAAGGAAAATAGTAATGACACTAGAGTAGCGCCCTGTGGGATCCCATTGGCTATTTCTTACAGGTTTTATTAAATAAATAGACCCAAAACATACACTGTGAGCCCCAGGAACCAGCAGCCGGGACATAAACCAGGGATTAAAAGTTGTTTTCACAGATTCATATTTGTATTTCCACCGAATCTCAAGAACCGTAACTTCAACCACAGTTCAAGTTCTCTTGCTTCCTCTCTCTCCCATAAAGCCCTTGTTCTCTCTTAATCTTTTCAAAAGCCCTATTACCGAGCCAGAGAATCTTTATTTTGAGAGGTCAGAGTTCTTAACTACATGAAATGCCAACTGACCTAAAAGGCCTAAAATTTCTAATTGTCAAAAGGAGCCCATTTCTATTGGTAAAAGGACAACTATTGTATCACGAAGCTCCTACAGGAGATACAATAGCTGGAAAGAACATCTAAAAAGATACTGTATGTTGATTCATTGCATGATGTCTTACCTCCACATGAGTGTCTGGTGTACGGAGGGCCGTAAGTGGAAGACGTGGTTGCTGACAGCCAGGTTATGCTCTAGTCTGAAGGGCTCTAGGACCACCCCGTCTCGCACTGGGAACGTTAGGCGCAGCTCCTCATTGTGGTTGGCTACATTGGTTGAAGAAGAACCACGGTCAGACTATCATGAACTATTAAAGGAATAATCCACTATTAAGATTTCTTCATTGGATGTTACTGACCTGGAGGGGGAGGGAGAGCGGTGATATTTGGTTTGATGTCAGGAGGGAAGGGTGGCTTCACGTCCTGGTTTGGCGATAGGTATGGGGGAATGTTACTACCTGGGGTCATTGGAGGGGTGGGGTTGCCTGGCACTGGGGAGTGAGGGTAGTTACCCACCGGTCTGGGCGGCTATATTGAAGACAATCGATTAGTACATCAAATGTTCATAGGACTATAAACAGCACAACCAAGAGAACGATAATGTGATGAAACACAACTGGTACAAAAATGGACTTACCCCATTCATATTACCCTGGCCGTACTGATATCCACTCCCGGAGAAGTTATTTGTTTGGCCATTAAAAGGCGGCTCTTGCTGTAATTTGAAGAAACAGATAAAACATTATTATTTTCTCAAAAAGCTGCTGACATCTTGCTAAAAGTTTTTGGGATGATACCCTGCAAATAATTATCATCTTTTTTTGTGAATAGCATTATTACTGCACCTTATAGTACTGGCCCATGGCACCGCTGGGTGGCGGGTATTGGCCCGGCAGCTGCTGTCCTGGCATCCTCTGGCTGGGGTAGTTTGGGGACGGCAGCGGCCTAGAGGGGTTGGGTGTGGGGTACGGTCCCTGCTGGTTCGGGAACTGGCTGTTTGGTCCATACTGCTGCCCACCATAGTTTGGCTGTGGGATAAAGGGAGGACATAAATAAATTCAACATACAGCAAACAAGCTAAACCTTGAAGGTGAAAGCGTTGAATTCACATCCACTCACCTCCCCTGGGTACGGCCTTTTCATGCCCTGCATACCCATGCCCTGAGGCCGGGGTCCTGCATAGCCTTGCTGGGGCATCCTTTGTCCGTGGGCCGCAAAAGGCCCCATGCCTTGGCCCCTGGGCTGGTTCATTCCCATGGGGGGTCCACTCATGTTGGATGCATTCATGCCACTGCCCATGTTCCCAGGGATGGACGGAGGGCCGCGGGGTCCTGGCTGGTTCATGAACTGGCTGTTGTACGCCTGGTTTGGTCCCATCTGGAAAGAGGAACTCATCTGGAAGACAAAATATGTTCAATCAACCATCTGAGAGTTTTATCTCAATGTAGCACATTTTGCAAATCTATTAAAAGTCCAAAAAGACAAAAATGTTCTAACCTCTGAAAAAATGTGTCCCTGTTAGCTTTTGTTATAGCTAAATGTGCTATTTGGCTCCATTACAACTTCAGCGAATTATTCACACTTAACATTGATTTAGCCTGGTTAACCATTAACCCTAAATCAACTTCTCTCAGCTTTCTTTGCTTGTACTACTCTCTGTATTGAAAAGCACAGTGAGAGAGGTGCTATCAGTTGTTTGCAGAGTCCTACCGGTCCATATTGGTTCATGTCTTTGTTCTGGGTTTCCTGCATGGCAGCTACAGTGGCTGTGGCAGTGGCGGTCGCTGTGGCGGCAGCCGCAGCAACTGCGGCGGCAGCAGCAGCGGCTGCGGGCTGGGTGTAGTCTGACTGAGGACGGGAGTGTGGAGGGATGCCCATTCCTCCAGGTCCAGTGTTAGGCCCTCCAGGGTAACTGTGACAAAGAGCAACACAATGTAGGAAGTTACCTCTTGCTGGAGGAGTGCAACCATTTTACCTAAGAGAATGAATTCTTTCTTTGTAAGCATTTTTAATCATTGCAGCGACAGTTACGAATCAACTGTCCACTTACTTGCCACCAAAGCCTCCTCCTCCGGGGTAGTTGGGTCGTCCATACATGCCCTGCTGCATGTAGCCCTGGTTGGAGTTGCCCTTGCTGGGGAACTGCTGCTGCGAACCAGGGAACTGAGGAGAGTTCATCCCCGGATTGTTACCAGACATACCCGAGCCCATAGGGTTGCCCCCAGGGTTCATGGGATTGTTGTTGTTCACCATGGGATTCCCCAACACCTGTTGGACATAGACATACAGAGAGATATACAGGTGTAAATGTTGGATGCTTTAACATTAAGACAGAAAAGCTCAAAATCAGATTGTAGGTCTATGTGACTGCTGAGAAACCTCCTGCAGTGGCACTCAGATGCAGTCCACTCAGACACACTTCTACTCTGTTGGTCAGGGATGGGTTCTCACCTGGCTCTGCGACGTGTTGGTCACGCCCCAGACGGTAGTAACCACCGACAACGAACCTGGAGGCTGATTGGTGTTCTGTTGCCAGGGGACTGAGTCGTAGGGAAAAGACCCATCTCTGCTGAGGACGGATGAAAACACATCATGTAAGCAAATCAAATGTGCCCTGCGTCACTGCACACATATTTGCCGTGCACGATAGTACAGTCATAGTAAGTATGTTTGCATTTGCTGAACGATAGGAAGAGACAAAGGTTTTATTGTTAGGATTGTAAAATAAAAACATGTACTTCCTTTTGAAATGCACAAACACTGTGTTGTAATTATTAACTACATGTTCTAGGGGTAGTGAGGTGCTGTTTGTCCGTATTGACTGTGCTACAAGCGGTTAGTCTGCCAGTTTGTCCGGCCACTGATCCATAAGGAACACCGGGCTTCATGTGGCGAGGAAGGGCTTTCCCCAAGGGCCTGATCTGTCTGTTCACACACACAAACACACCTCACACACAAGCCAAAAAGCACAACAGTGTGAAGACTGACCCGTGTGAGAGGCCGGGCTTCATGGAGCTCATGGGGGGTTGCATGGGCACTTTTCCCGGAGGCTCGTTTTGCCTGTTCTTCTGGTGACGGAGGAGGAGGAGGCGTCCCAGCTCCTCACACCACGACGACAGAAGAGCTGGAGAGAGAGCAGAGGAATGAGTGTATCAGTGGACTCCTGTGAGAAACAACTACTGCAAGCGCTTTAAAAAAACTGCAGGAACAGATTATGTGAGAAGAGGAGGGCAGGCGAAACAACAACTTAGGCACAGAAGCTTCTGGAGAAAAAGCAATGGCCTGACTGACAAAATGATGTGTACGGTATCTGTCCTGTCTGTGCGACGTACAAAACAAAATAGGTTTACAGTCTCAGTCCGCGTGACTATGCAACAACATTGAACATTCAAGCATCATATAAGATGAAAAATCATAAGAAATGTTAATTAAAACATTTTAAACAAATTGGAAAAAAAAAGTCTGAACCTTTTCTGAAATGATCTGCTGAGACCGTATCTAAACAAAAGTTGTTTCCTTTCAGTATTATTCTTTAGTAACTGTGTTTGTATTAATGAATATATTTCCTTTGGACAAATATAACTTTTACTCTGCTTATGGACTCTTTTGTGTTTATTCTACTTTAGGAATGAAGTTTTTCGTATGTACAGAGGAGGTTAAATGTATTACCTATATCAACGCTAGCAGCAAGACACACATTAGTGAGACATTTACATTTGCTTGGACACTTCTGTGCCACTTTAATAATAGTTTGAGTGACTGATTCTTGCCCTTTGTTTTAATAGTTATTTGCTCTGCAAATAAGTTGTATTCTATTAGTTCTATTCTATTAGTTAAGTCTTCACTGTATACATGTATGTCAGTCCTGTGAGGGTCTTTTTTCCATCAGGACTCTCGCTGTCTATTTTATTTGTGTTTTCTGGTGAATTTGTTAACTAAACCCCAAATTGTATCCTACAAAAAACATGGCTTTATCCTGAAAAGCACATTTTCCTACTAATAGCCAACAAAATGTGTCACATTATAAGACATTTTGCCAGGTGAGAAGAAGCAACCTTTTCAACATGCAAATAAGCTTTACAGCGCAGATAATTAGAAAATAAATTGCGTAATTATTGAGAACAGGGGTTCCTAGACATAACTATTTCACACACACTAGGAATCTCCTCTTACAGTAAGACACAAAAGGAGGCACCTTTATGAAGCAATATAAAAGATCAGCTTCAAATCCAGCATGTCGCTGCAGCTCTTGGCCACTAGGGTTCACTCTGGGCCTGCAGATGGTCTCCAGCCCTTCCCTCCTCTCTACCTTCCTACCTACCGCACGGTTAGGTAGATGCCACAGAGCGCATTTGATCGAACCATATGCAGTGCATGTTTTTGTACTGGGCCAACTACAAAAGACTCACTTTTCCTTTTTACCCTCCCTCTTCGCTTCCCCTGCCTCCGTCTAGCCTCTATCTGCGGCGTCAGAGGAGAAAGGGAATGTGGATTCAATCAAAGAGCAGGGCAGCCATCTCCTCTTATGATTCACAGCACTTCCAGGCTGACTAAGGAGCGAGGGAGGAGGGGGGGGGGTGAAACAGAGCGCTTGGTGATTTCAGCTGCGGTTCGTGCAAAAAGCCACGTCAATATGACAGCAGACAGTGAGTCAGTGAGAGAGGAGGCATCAGGCTAATAGGGCTGATGGGAGGGAGGAACAAACAAAAGCTTCTGACTCCCATCACAAACATGGCAACCCGGAGATTTGCCCTCACATGAGTGCTTGCAAACAGAGCACAAGCCTGCTGATGCACACACACACACACACACACACACACACACACACACATGTAAGGAAAGACACCCCACTGGCTCATTTTTATAGAGGTAAAATAAATAGGACACGAGATGTCCTCTGAGCGCGCCGACTTTCCGAGGACAAAACAGGATTTCAGCATCGACACACAAACACACCTCTCAAAAGCATCGCACCCAAAAAGGCACGTCCTCTCCTTTCATTTGAACACCGAGCACACCAGCCTCGCTCTGTGTAAAGATGAGGGCTGGAATACAAAAGACATGTACAGATGGTGCCAGCAGTCTCTCTGCCTCTCCCTCTCCTCTCCCTCCCCTCCCTCCCACTCCTTTAAAAAGCAGCACGGGGCTCAGGCGCAGAGGAGGCAGCTGGGTTTTTCCTCCTTCCCACCCGCTCATGCTCTCTCTCTTTTTCTCTCTCTCTCTCTCTCTCCCCCTCCTTCCTGCCTCCTGTTCTTGGCAAGGCAGGTGCCAGGAGACAGGCTGTGCTGTTCCTCCAGAGGATTGATCTGACTTTGCTTCGGTTGACAGAAAAGGCCTCTCAGGTGCTCTTCTCCTGACAACATCACACTCGCAGGTTGATGCAGAGATTTGTAGGTTAGTTTTAATTGAATATAACCGCGTCCAAGTGCGGCTAATAGGTTTACGAGTTTCACATCTATGTTAAAGCCTTCTGCCGTGTTTCAACAGCACCCTCCCTCTTCCCAGACCCCCTTCTGATGAAGAGAGTTTTCAATTCAAGGGCTTGGCGTCCAGCCAGCATGTTACAGCTCAATTAGGTCCCATTATTCTCTTCCAACAAGGGGTAACTTGCACTTCTTCTGTGTTGATAAACATGTCTCCACAATTTATCCCCCAACTGTGCCACTGTTGAGGCCGTCTGGCTGAGGGGACGTATCCTTGTTTCACACCAAGGCCGACATCAACAGCCGCAGGGAAAAAACGACAGTGTTGAACCAAGCAGCGAAATGACAAAACATATCTAAGAGAAAGAGGGGCAGAACAAAAGAGGAGAGGGAAGCACCGGCGCTGCCACTTAAAGAGGAATTACTGTACCCCACCGTTAGATAAAGGGCTTATCACCACACAAAATGATCACCTCCGCTGAGCAGAGGCTCTGTCACTGACTCAGAGGATAAACTTCAGGTTTCATCTGACAGGAGGAGGAACAGCCAACCCGTAACTCCTCACAGTCTCTCCCTCCTCCTCCTCCTCCTCCACCTCCTCCTCCTCCTTCACCCAAGCATCTCTCAGGACAGTGCGGATGATGAACACAAAAGGATTACTGTTTTTCTTCTCCTCTCCTCCCACAGACGGTCTTTCAATAGACTCATCTGTTTCCCTCCCTGAGAAAAAGCCAAAACCGGAGATAATCGTCTCAGGTGTAGCTCTTCCAAACGACTATTCTGGAGCGAATCAAACTGCTGTTTGGAGCTACAGAGCATCTTTTTGGTCTGTTTACATTGGCCTCCCTGGCGGCTAAGGGTCTCTGTCTTCCATAAGGAGAGGAGCCTATCCTGTTTGCCTTGTAGATAGTCCCAAGGGCCCGGCTGAGTCTGAGCAGTATTGATATTCTGGTGCTCAGCTGCGCGGCCTGATGGTCAGCCTTGGCGAAGGGCGGTAAACGCATCTGCTGGGACTAGATGGGTGGTTCAGTGGCTGGGCCTGTAGCCTCCAGCTTCACTCTCTGTCATAAAGCCCCAGGGAGACGTGACAAATGACATGGACTGCATCTCTGACAGTTGTTCAATGCTCTTTCCAATGATAATGCTCCCCCGCACCCCAACTTTCACCACACATTCAGACAGGAGGCACAGAGATAAACTGCGCTGATTAAATACCTCGATTCCGCCTCTTATTGCTCTTCCAAAAGAATAGGGCCTCTAGATTAAAGGGTCAGTCCACCTTAATTACATGGTGTCTAGCCATTGAGGACTGCCTATGTTTTGAGATGCTTGTCTCAGAAATTTCCGTCTCTACCCCGATACAATGGAAGTGAACTTTCCAGAAACAAAGTCATTTTAACTCAAGTTTAAAACAGTTTTGTTCAATGTTTTCAAGGGAGCTCCGGCGCTACATGTGTAGGCTGATGATCTCAAAAATGCAACTACACGCCGGGGCTATGGCAGCTACGGATAAACCACGTGGGGCCGGCAAGAACTGTGACTGATCAGTTTGGGCTGCTTGTGCGTTCAAGTTTCTGATGCCGCTAAAGACTGTCGAAGGTGAATACAATATAAGGAAAGTTGAAAAAAAAAAAAAAAGAATCGGCGGTCTTTTCAGTTATGAAACAAGGCAGACTTTCCCAACAGCACTCGTATCACAAAGCAACTGAAGGAATGTAAACACCAGACGACTATAGGTAATTAACAATAAATCTGTCTACTGTTGCAGTGGAGTAGCTGTATAAATCATGACCCATGCTCCAGCTATCTACAGTCATGCCATTGCCTCAACTATAAATCTATCTTACCAAAGAAATAGTCCCTATAACAAATGTTAACATGTTTTTATTTTTGTATGCGTGTCAAATTAAATTCCATCCACCTCCACTGTATTAGGGTGGAGGTATAAATAAAGAAAAATGTTGTCACTTGGGTGAGCTGGCCCTTGTACATGTACTGCAAATGCAGCGGCTGTGGGTTCTGCTCGAACAACCTGTGGGAGAGGATAACCCTACAAACATGACATGTATGGCTACCATTAAAAAGGTTGCTGCCTCCTCCAAAACATGTTTCTCTGCTCTTCGCCTTTTCCCTGCTCTCCCTCCCTCTTTCCCTCCGTTTACTGGCAGGGAGAGCGGAGCGTAGGGGAGGCAGCAGGTAAGGCAGATGCCAAGGGCTCTCATGATCCCCCCCCCTCCCTCCTTCTCTGCTCTGTATCTAATAGACACCTGCTCCCTTGTCAACCCTGGACTCCCACCTGGCATTGCCCCACATGGCTCCGTCACTAACGTCCACACAAACATACAGTACACATCCAGTCACCGCACTCACGTTATCAGCAGCACTTTCTCACTTATTCCCCACACTAACTGTAACAGCGCAGTCCAATTTTTGCTGTAAACCTTTTTGAGAGGAATCACAACCCCCAAACGGCTTGTTTGAAGACATTTAGCCAGAAGGGTTGAAAGGAGAACAAAGACCATGAGCAAACTAACAAGAACGGCTCTAGTGGGCTGCACTCTTTAGTTTCTGAGGGAGCTCTATTCACGTTCTGTTCCTCCCTCCTCTCTCTCTCTCTCTCTCTGCCCAGAAAGGTTTGAATGGACACAAGGCCTCCTGCAGGCCAAAGTCAATTAAAATAAGAGAGAGTCTAGGGAGCCCTAGTATCCCTGGTTACTGAAAGCACCCAAGAGGCCATGCAAAACATCTATGTTTAGTTTTAGCCAAAGAATCCCTCGCTTACAGGCTTCCCTGAAGTGTAAAATTGTGGGATTTACCTCATAATGTATGGAAAACTACATGAAAACCTGGTTGCTATGACATTGCTTAGAGCCGGTGCCAAACTTTCCCGCGTAAACTAACGGCTGGATCATAAATCATCTCCTTCTCTGCCTCGCGGCGCTCCGACACAGTCGCCACAGAGCCGTGGATGCCCGCCCGGCATCCAACAAACCTCTCTTTCGTCTTTTCACAGATGCCACCAATTGTTCATCAGTGCCAATTTGATAATGAAATGGAAGCGACTCGTCCATCGTGCAGTCTTTAGAGGAGCGGGTATAACAGGTTACAGACCTGTTGTCCATGCGACATACCAGAACCGCTTGTTTATCCATGGGGGATAAGCAGATCGAAGCTCACAGAACGCCTTTAAACACATGGTACACATTTTAGCTCTCTCAACTCTGCAACACTTCCGGCACGGCAGCGAGTGCTAACTGGGTGTTGTAAAACCGAGTCTGTAAACTGACTTCATTAGCTCAGTTTCTGAGACTTTAAAGTTGGGTGAGTCATTTCGTGACATATTTCAGGGTGAGCGATGTTTTCAGAAAGCTGATGAAGTGGGAAGGATGTGTGAAGTGGGAACATGTGAATGTCATGGCCGCCATGTGGCATCAAAATGTGACAGATTTCCCCTGAGGTCCCTTAAACGTATGCAATCAAGGAGCTATTTCATTAAGTGACAATGAGCTGCAAGACAAATTACCAAAACCGTAATGACAGTATGTAGCAGTGGAAAAGTATGATGAAGCAGCTACACGTTGTGGATTGAAAGCATTAGTTCTAACGGTTATAAAACACTCTGTCTATATAGGCCAGACAACCACCTCCTGTCTGCACCTCATCTTTGTCTGATGCTTTTTTTTTTTCTTGCATTATTTCCTCTGCTGCTCTCTCTCTGGGAAGTCAATGATGTTGGAGTCTTGTCAATGAGTACTTAGGCCCGTTGCCTCATGGGGAGCCAGACTTGCTGGCTAGGTTTTATGGCCCATTTCAGAGCTGCTCCGGCTTAAATACAGCCTCCTGCTGGCCACATGGCCACAATGTCGTGCCATGTCCATCCGGCGAGGAGAACGTAAGGGGGGGGGGGCTTGGACACGTGCCAAAAAGGTTTTACTGAGGCCACAAGCATATGTGGCCATGTGGAGGCAAGCGAAACAATGCTGCAGATTTGGTGTTTCTGGGTTGCTGTTTTGACGTCCTGTGTTCTTTGTTGCAACATCAAAACCCTCTTTAGACTGCGTTACTGACAGATAGGAAAGCTGTCCCTTATTCCCAGTAACTTCCCACTTCTGCAGTCGTAACAACTCCAGTATCGAAATATCCAGCCAACCACTGTGATACAAATTTGATATACGTACATATGAAAATGGAGGATTCCTAAATAAATTTAAAAAATGTCAAAGATAAGACATTTAAATAAAATCGGTGTTCACAGATTCGAGATAAAGAACAAACTGTATATCTTTAAAGAAATCCACTTTAGACTAACTGAATACCAGCTGGAACCTGAAACAATAAACGCCACCATCTTGAGATGATTTATGCAGATCTCATCACTCCGGCTGACATTTCTTGGTCATGGTTACACAGGATCCAAACCTTCGCCTGAACAGGGCCAGTGTTTTAAACGATAATCTCTCTTGGCACATGCAACAAATCTCTTCATTAAAAACAGGGCATGCCATTCAGCGTCCCTGTAAAGCACGGAGGTGGAAATCTATAGAATTTCACCCCCTGGTGAGAATTAATTTGTTGTGCGTTAAAGCCAAACCAACATTGCATCTCCAATCTGTTACTGTACGTCGCTCCCCGCTACATTAAGCTGATTGGGAGCAAAACTCCTTCCAAACCTACAACTTTATGTCTTAATTCAGGAGCTACAATCTCTGACCACAGCGTGTTTATAGTGTCTGAGGCCAAGTTTCCTCAAAGAACCATTGCAGTGGTAGCACATTTACAAATAAATCATGTATACTTAGCTGCTAACCATTTTGCAAAGCATGCCATTGTGAAATTTCATGTAGTATTTATTATTCGCTTAATTTTTGTACTGTATGAAAATACACCGTATAAAGTTGCTGGAGTTGTGTAATACGTCACAGCAAACATCACATGTGCCTTCTGGTCAGAGTTACATTGTAGGTTCAATTGAAAGGTTTGGACTGCGTTACCACAAAGTGATCATGTAACTTCATTTTCATTCTTAAAGTTTCATTCTTTTTTTTGTTTTTTTTCCGTTTTTATTGTTACCTTTCAAAATAAATGTCTACTAATTCTCTTGTGTTCTTGTTTCATGTTGCTCTTCTGAAGATTAAAAGTGCTACACTTTATGTGATTAATAGGATTCAAGTGAAGTTTCAAGAGTAAGCGAACTGATTTTTTCATTCTGTACATAAATGAGTTGAAAAGAGTGGAAACATACATCAGCAAAAATCTAAAATGGTACAGCATGTATTTGAAAACAGTAAGTAAACACATATACATGATTTGTAATTAAGTAGCTAAAACTTGCAAAAATACTGCCATGGTCCTTAAAACAGGGAAAAGCATCTTTGTTGACTAGTAAACGCTGAAGCAAAATCTTTGTGTGCCACAGACTATCGCATTGCGTTTGGACAAGACAAATCTTCACAAGACTTATCTAACTTTTCCCCTTGACCACGCTGAGGTTTCAGCTGACCGCACCAGCACAGAGTGTGTTTTTAACCGTGCACTTCTGCAACCAGATTATCAGTTGAGCAGACCTGCAAAGAAGCTGCTTACAGGAGCCAGACTGTTTCCCCGAGCAACAGGCTGCTATTAACAAAGGCCCGCCTTAAGCCCTCGTCTACAATGATACTAATTAGGCATGGAGCAGATGTGCCCGGACTAGTGCCCACCTCGGGGTGCTGGCCAGGACCGGTAGTGTCACGGCGGCATACGCTGGTGACTGATTCACCTGCGACCTTTAAACAGTGGGCCTGGTGTCAAAGCCTCCCTTTAGTAGTACAGTAGGAAGAGACACTGGAGGAGCCTGGGTCGGGTCCCGGCACCCCTCTAGGCTCATTAGAGTCGTCCATATGTGCAACAGTGCAGCATTTGAATAAAAAGCTTCCTAATGATAACACTCAGGCCAAATGGAAACAATGAAACTAAAACCGTATCCATTTTCAACAATCATTTGTATCTGTACATACGTACTGTATGTATGTATGGCCTCAGGCAGAATACATTTTGCAAACAATGTGTTTTTTTTATTTTTATTGAAATGTATTCATCCGCTTCCTTCAAATTGAATTGCTGCATTTCTATTTTTATTTTAATAATTTTAAAATCTATTTCATACTGCAGATGTCTTTTTAATTTTTTTTACTTTTTTTTAAATTCTATTTTATTTTATACATTCTTATTGTGTCAGTTAAGTTTCTGGTATTTTATCACATAATATCATTTACATTTTGCCCTTCTATATGTGGCCCAGTACTGGAACTCTGTTGTGTGTATGTAAAATGCAATTTCCTGTCTAATTTATGCTTGTTGTACCAGTTTTCTGGTCTTTAAAGTTTAATTATATTTTTGTGACTCTCATGTAAGCTCTGTTCAAAACTCTTACTGTTCTTATTTTTTCGAAAAATTGTGTAGTGTGTTTAATTACCATACAAATCACCAAGTAGAACAAGGCATAAACTTAAGATTGTCAATGGCTTCAATGAACAGCCGAGAACACAAGTGTGAACTGTGACGCAGGCAAGATGATAAAACAACATGTGTGACATGCTTCATACTGTAAAACTCCGACAGACAACACAACAGCAGCCATGTAGCTTTTCTAGATGACCAACCAATAAAAAAAATTAAAAAAAGCACGTCTGATGTCATTCCATGTACAGTATGTCGACACGGTCCAGTGTGAGGACATAATGTAAGGACTGTGATGAGGATGGTTGGTTGGATTCAGCCAATGTGCATGAGTTTCCTGTGCGACACACAGCAAGTACCTGAGTCAGACTGACACCTCCTGCAGCAGTTGGTTTCTGTAGGGTTCAAATTTTACATTTTACTGAACTTTACAAACATGTCTAAGATATTCAGTAAATGACAGACATTTGACCAAACCTATGAGATGACGGTGTGATTGAGAAATATATATCAAGTTATAACTCACAGACGGTCTAAAAACCTACAAAGAGGAGAGAATAATTGAACATACTATACAACAAATGAGAAAAAAATATATATGGATGTAATGGAATTGCAGAAAACTTTAAAATAGATCATACTTTTTTGCTGCGTCATGGTACAAAATGGCAAACATCCAGTGCAGGCAATTTAAGGATTTGTGTCATTCCTGCCACTACAAAAATGACTTAAAAGTATTATTATCATGAATTATTGAGGTATCCGCTAATCAATGAGCCTACCTTTCTCTATTGCTATTGATCTGTAGCTCTTTATCCGAGCAGTTAGCCGAGGTTTGATCAGAATTCTATGATAGACAATGGTGTGCAAGTATGGTTAATGTGTGCAGCATGGGGGTTGTGAATTGTGCCATAGCCATGTGAAAGAGGAATTATTGGTGCAGTTTAAAGCTCTGCTGTCCACCATTCGAGGTTGATAAAGGTCATAGATTACTTAATGCTTCTTTAATGGGCTGCTTTAGCATCGTCCGATACCGTCATTTGTAATCTCTCATAACCGTCTCACTTTCTGGATCTCCAAGAACGCAGGTCTCTCTCATCTGACCACTGAAAGCATCTTTTCACTGCTTTTTGAACAACGCATATAAAGATGTCTCCCTTTCTGCAGAAGGTAACTCACTCTGCTGTAGATACAGATGAAGTAAAGTGTTTCCACCGCTCTTCACACTGATAACCTCATCCACACCAAGTGTACGATTGCCTTCTAGCTACTCTATGGGATTGATCGTAAATTAAGAAGTCTGCTTTTGGTGGCTGTTGTTTGTACTTTAAAGGACTTACAGTGAGATTAACAAGGAGGTGGATGCGCTTGTGATCCTCTTTGATGCGAGGAGGAACTCTACCTTCATTTACACATGGCATTCTAATAACATTTTAATACTCGTATTATTTTCAGAGATCCCATCATATATTCCAATCTTGTGACAAAGTTGGTATGACGAATATACGTCTTTGAATCATGCTGTTTTGTTGTGCCATCTTTGGAGGATTCAATATCAAATGTGATCAAAATTGTACTTTGGGTTTGATCGCAATATACGAAGAGGTGTAAACAAAGTGCATCCTATAATTACTTATTAAAAAAAGCCACATGAAAACTGCCTGCATCATCTGCAAATGTTATCAATTGCTGCTGCATGCCGATTGCTGTTATTGTGATTCGGGACTTTATCCAAGAAACTTCAACGATAAAGGTCAGTGCAATTTCACACCTCGGTGAGATTGTACAGAGAACAAGAGATTCATTGAAGCTGACAAAACAACAGTAATGAATAGCTGGAAGTGTGTATTGCTGTACAGCTATAGCCAGACATCTCTTTACCAACAACGCCTGTTGCAAAAACTCTCTTGTCTTGGCACGTTGGGAGTCATCCCACAGACACATTTTGGGAGGAAAAATAATTGAATAATTGCCCAAACCAGGACTTTACTGTTCAGCTTAACAAAACCCCTCTTAGTAGAGAGAAAGCCAAATGAACAATAAAGAAACCAGCATGCCAACCAACCAACCAACCGACATTTAATTCTCAAGTTAAGTCAATAGGAGAAAGAAATTACATCAGCTGACTGTGTTTCTCACCCAAAATCTTTTGTTAGTTTGCGTAGTTTGTAGGATCCGATGTCATCACTTATTTAAATGTCCAAAGCAACTTAAAAAAGAACCTCTTTTTCCACTTCCCGTCATTGATCTGTATGTTCAATGTGGTTTTTACAATAATCAATCAAAATGAATAATATATATAATATACTTCCGACAGAGATTTGGAGCTATGAGGAGGCAAACGAGTGACACAGAAGTAGTTTATGTAGCTATAAAGAGTGTTGGAAACATACTGAGCATATAGATCAATGGTGGATTGTGCAGCAGGAGTGTTTTGACAGGTTTCTATGGATGTTTTACATATTTTGCGCAGTGACTGGATCACCATTGTAAATGGATGAATGAGCCAATTTTCGAGCTCAAAGACAAGAAGCATTTGATGTTCCCTAAAGATAGATTTTTGAGGGTATTCATTCAAGTTGAATATGAACAAAACAGGTGCATTACCATCTCAATGCAGTAGAATGTTTGAAATTAAAACCTGTTTCTCCCATTTATAAACCTCAGTGCACCCCACATGATGGGACCATGAGAAACACTGAATCACTGATCTGAAACCAGCAAATTACTACATAGGGAGAGAATGTGTGCGTGTCTCTGCAGTGAGCCTGGCTGCTTGTGCTGTGTGGCACAGAGGGGAGTGGGTGTGATGAACTGCCAAAGAGTCTCGCGGAAAACGCCGCCTCAAGTAGGTCAGTGCGACTCAGAGATAATCAAGGCCATTTTGACCCCTTCTGTGTGAGCTGTAAGTGGGTCAAATGCAGCAGTCAGCTGTTGCAACTCTATCACACGGGGTGCTGCGAGGCACTCGTCATACTGTCAAAGCCCATTCCGTTAGTTTAAGACGTGGCAGGGTGCCCGCCTGCACCTACCAATGCAGGAATCAACCCTCTCCCCCCCATACCCTGCCAGGGGTGAAATAATGTGAAGTTACTCTCAGCGGCAGATCCACCTTTCCACTTGTCACTGAATACACCCCCTACAAACACAACCCTCTTTCACTGTTGTCTCCTCCTTTTGACAGCTCGCAGCTTTGCAGCTCTGTCCTACTCACAGCAGCAAAGACTCACCCCCCACCCCCCCCACCCCCATGTCTAAAATGCCACCCGCATTGTAACCAGACTATCTCCAGCAATGTCCCTGCTCATTTCTCACTCTTAGCTGCACAGAAAAGAGGGGAACTCATGTGTCTAGAAACACTTCTGAGCATAAATCTGCAACAGCAGAACAAAGGCGATACAGGGCAGCCTTAATCTCTGCACTACTGAAGCCAGCAGCTATTTTAAAGCTCTTTCTCTGTGTCTCTCTATCCCTCCCACCTTCCTCTCTTCTCTCTAACATTCTTCCTCTCTCTCCCCCACCCTCCCTCTTCCCCTACATTTCCCCCGATGTCTCTGGGCAGCAGCTTCCCTCTGTTTTCCTCTCCTCTCTCCCTGCGTGTCCAGTGACTGACTGCACAATACTCATCAATTATTCATGGCTGCTCTCTCCGTTTCGCAGGCAAAACCAATCACAGATGGAGTCATTGCTAATGGGCTCATGCTGTACTTGCCACCGGCTTCTTTGCACTCAAGCAACAAATACCCCAGAGACAATGAGAGGGAAAACAGGGATAAGCTGTAAAAAAAAAAAAAGGAAACTTCATACAGCACTAACAGCCACAAGAGAATAGGAGGACACACGTTTGTGGTCAGAGAAGAAGAAAGGTATCGTCACAAATAATTTAGCAATATTAGGAGCCGGCTTCTGCAGCAGTAAAGGGTTAAAGACAGAGAGGCTGGGGGGTGGGTGGGACACAGGGAGGGGGGGAGGGGGGGGGGGGGGGGGGGGGGGAGGGGGAGGGGGGGGGGCAGGCAGAGAGGGAGAGAGAGAGAGAGAGAGAACCAAATGCTTATCTCCTCACCTCGGATGTATGCAGCAGTTATTGATGTATCTTCTTTTTCTGTCTAGTGATCCATTGCTTGCTCTCCCAATACACACATCACACAGAAGCAGCCACAGCCACTTCGCCAGAAGGGAGAGAGGGAGGGCAGGGGAGGGGAGGGAGAGGAGGGGAGGAGGGAGGGAGGGAGGAACGGAGAGGAGAAAAAAAAAATGCAGGCGGCTCACATTTCAAACCTGCAAAGGGGGGTGGTGCCTAATGTGCTAGACAGCCTGCATCTTGGCCCGCGTCCAGAGCAACGAGTAAAAGAAGCCTCAATCAATTCATTTAAAGCAACATTTGCTATGAGGGAGATGCAGCGCAAGTACCGCCGAAAAGTGGCAATAGAAATGGTTCAGGTGGGTACATTAAGCAGTGATTCCAGCCCCCAAAACCTTGTCTTTGCATAAAGTCGACTTAATCCATCAAACTGGTCATTGTAATTAAGGGGCATGGAGGAGGAGGAGGCTGGCTATTGTGGCTTCCTGATGCACTGAGTGTTTAAATCAGGGAGGGAGGGGCCAATTAGACCACATTCGTCTTTCAGCACACTTCAGCCACGGTAAGCTTTTGGAAAAATAATTACACACATATAAAACATGTAAACTGTGGGTAGACACACCACCTGAGGCAGTCTGGAGCGTCTATTGTCATCTGCAAATAAAAATACTCACACTCACCGGCAGCGAGTCGAGTCGGGTGTCAACTGATCGGTGGCTAAAATACAATAATATGCATTTAATTAGAGACACAAGGTGCAATGTTAATTAATTCTAACATGCAAACATCCGATTTTGTTGCACTGCGAATTACAGAGCCATATGGAGTGGCTGAAGATGCTACCAATCACCTCCTGCTGCCACAGACATAATAACTGCGACGACTACAGAGAAGGACAGACAAGCTCAACCGCTCTTATCTCTGGTGTCTCCCGTCTGTATTTGCTCTCCTAGTATTTACTATCAGCTATGTGCACGGCAAGTGACTTACAGCCCTAAATCCCGACAGCAAGTCAACACATCCATCATAGCTAGCTGGAAGACTTCACATACGGTGATCATATACTGTAAAACAGTGTGTCCAAAGTGGACACGGTGTAGATTTATAGCGTCTGTGACACACTTATCATATATAATAAGCCTTTAACCTAGTAAACTCTGACGAGGGTCCATCTTTACAATCTGCTGCAGACAAGACCCCAAAAGATACCAAATGTATTGCACTTGGACTTGTAAAGAATAGTGCAGACCTCCAATGATTATAATGTATGAGGTGTTTATACAGTAGGTGGGGTGAGTGAACACTCTTTAGACTGGATCTCACTTCTTGGACTAAAATAATTGTACCACTTGAGGAACCACGGCTGCCTCACCACCATCTGAAATAAAACTTCCATACATGGAAAATAAAGTCTTAAATGTGTATTTAAATGGGATTAACTAAAGGTTGTTTAGTTGTCAGATACAACTCAAACAAGCTCTCGGCCACCAACAATGTGTTATTTTCTATTTAGGAAAAGCCACAGCTAAACTACATGTTGAAGCACATCGGGTGGAGAGATGGACAGAAGAAATAGAAACAACATTTTAGTGTGGGAAGTTCTGGGAAGAGAAATTACAGCCCTTCAGGCCTGTGTTTGTGTGTATCTGACCTCTGTATCGTGTGTACAATCAGAGACTTTTCCACAGGCCAATGACAACTTGGTGTTCAGCACCACTTCACTGGAAGGCAGACGTATGATCAGCTCTTTAGACTACAGTTTATTTACCTTCAATTTGCACTTAAGCAAACTAATAAAGTCAACCACGTCAAGTGTAAAGAATAAAAGATTGACGGCACCCTTGAAAGACGTTCTTCTTTCTTTAAACCCGGCACACTTTCATTTCTTTGGAATTTCCATTAATATAAAAAAATCAATGTTTTGAAATAAGATTTGCTAGCATGAAGTTGATATTCATCTCTCTATTTAGTATTCACTCCAAAAATGTTTATACTTTGCAGAAAACTCTTTGAAAATGTAGTGCTATGACGGTCTAAACTGCACATCCTGCACCTGTGGCATGTCTTCACGCTGTACATATATTGAAGCGTATCAAGCGTATCACTTTATTTGGCTTTGTTTAATAGATTTCTAGATGAATCAATTGGTCACACTGCCTGTTGATCTACAAACGCAAACATCCCCCCTCACACTACCAGAGGTCCCACCATAAAACGTCCACTATCACACCAACTAAGCAAGATGAAACAGAGGATATTTTTTAAGATTGTGGTTAAACTACAACCCACAATGTCTTCGGATCAAGCTTGAATACAAACCTGCATGTGTGAAACATGTAGAGAAACAAACCAGAGCTGAAGCCCAACTAATTATCTGTTGAATAGCTGGTTTACCAGGCGTTTGTTACATGAGAGAATGAACTGAAAAACTTTCGACTGGTCCCCGTCTCTTATAAATCGGTGCCTCCTTTCACTCTTTAGAGCTGAGGAATTCCAAGAGCTTGCTGAGGCGCAAACGATTGGGAATGTGCTACTCTGACCCTCTTGGGGGGGGGGGGGGGGGGGGGGGGCAGGGTGGTATATTTTGTTGGAG